TTGGTACGACAGATGTACACCTTGTCAATAAATCACAACAACATCAAAAAACTAACCCGACGAAAAAAAAAAAAAAAAAAAAAAAAAAAGAGAGGAGTTGTACGTGCGTGCGTGCGTGCGTTTATATACTCCTTGAATTCCTCATCTTCTCTTGCATGTACCATAATTAAATCATGCTCGGTCTAACTCCCATTCACGACTACATATATATATAAAAAAAAAAAAAACTCATATAAATGCATCCCGTCTTGAACAACGAAATCTTCTTATTTCACTGGTACAAAATATAAGAAAAAAATGAAAGCTTCTTTGGTCGTTCTGTTGGTGTGTTGCATGTTTGTTGTCACAGCGTTCAACCCCGATCATTATCCGTCAGTGAAAAACGGAAACATCGATCCGTTCACCAAACAGAGTCCAACGTAACGTAGCACCCATATAATTACTCTTTTTTTTTTTTACAGTAGCCAATGTTTCTAATTATATATATATGTACGAATTAGTACATGGATGCTTACCAAGAGATGGTCTCGCTCGGATAAGAAGAAGCGTCGGGATTGCCGAAATCGAGTGTGCTCTCTGTATTTGAAAAAGTGTCCAAAAGCATGTCCGCAATCTTGTGGTTATCTGAGTAAGTAAATTTCAATCAAACCTTGTATTACTTTTTTTTTTGACTTGTAATTTAGACTCGCCTGATCCCTGTTGTCCGTTGCTGGGTAAACCAACATGTCCTGATTATTGAATAAAATATAAAGAAAGTTCATGCTTTTTTTATTTATTTGTTCTCTTGTAAAATAAATGTTATAGGAGAGACAGAAAGAAAGAGAGAGAGAGATAGGAGTAGAGGAGGGATATGCTAATATTATGTGTAAGCGTGTGCTACGAAACACACAAAAGGGTATTTTTGAGATATTTTCTTCGTTTTATCTTGTACGAAGTTGCAAGACATGGGTAAAGACACCATCAATATGACCATCAAGGTCAAATGCCGAGAAATAGTTCTTCCAAAGATAAAAGGCGACCAAAGCGCATGAAAATCCAAAGAGACTACCAGCAATCACTTGTGACTCGGTATGATGGCCTAAGCGTACACGAGACCAGACTACAGATATCGCAAACCCATGAAAGAAGACCAAGATGCAGATATTTTGCCACGTAAAAGCTGCATTGAACAAACATTGCAGATACGTGTTCAAGAAGAAGATGGCAGACGAATGGGAAGAAGGCATACCGTAACTCTTCTTTTGCTTTTGTATCTTACCATTGGCTGTTACTCGAGGAGGTGGACGGGCTTGTTTGATAATACGCTTGAGAATTTTGGCACTAATCACCGTTGTGGCTGCTGTTAACGTAAAGTAAACAATATGGAATGACCTCAAATATAACACCGTCAAGAAGTTACAGGTCAATACTAACTCTCTAGTCTACAATATACAAATGTTAATGTCAACATGTCAAAAAAAAAAAAATTAACATCTCTATATTTACATAGGACAGTATGTTCAAAAACCCCTTCTTCATTGATTTAGCCATGATATAAAGAATAAAAAAGAAAGATGAGAATGAAAGAAGAGAGATATATGTATGTATATATATATATATGTAAAAAATAAATAAAAGGAGTGCAAAATCTACGAAATTAGAATACATGTTGTGTGTAACTTTTGACGGAAAGTGGAGAAAATTAGAGAGAGAGATGGTTTTACAAATAAAATTTCAAGGATGACAAGCTTCTTTCTTTTTCGCTTGCCAAATTTCGATATTTTTCTTGATATTTTCTGCACAATACTTCATTTCTGGAAACAAGTGACCAAACGATACATACAGATCCATTGCCACATTCTCCATGAAATACAGTTGGAAATCAGGTAATGATACTTTACCGCGTTCATTGATGGGTAAAGAAGGTATCCCTAATTCTCTTTCTAAATCACCTTGCATCGAAAATTCCTCTGCCAATATCATGGCCCATCGTTTAGCATTATCAAAAGGTCGAGTCTATAGAAGATAGGTAGGTGGGGGGAATTAACCCCTCCACTTTGTGTGTCATTACAAGTACAACAAACAAAAATGAAAAAGAGTAATAAAATTTATGGATATAGTATAGAACTTTTTAGATGACTTACACAATTACTAATATCGGCACATTTCATAATGGCACTACACAATACTAATCTCTCCTCTTCTTGGCTTAGTGCTCTCGCATGCTCGTTTATTTCCCTCGTGGTTTGAATAATACTGGCCAAATAGTCTTGATGACATCCCATGTCTGTACACAAGATACTGTGCACCACGATCCTTCTGAAATCTTTGTAAAATGAATTAGAAGATAATCCTAATAGGTGATATGTGTTCAATCTTTTCTTGTGTACCTTTATAGTCTGAACAAGCTTCAATATCAATATTGGCATGAGCAAAATATTTACACACTAATTTAAAAAAAGCCATCGAATGATAGCTTTCCAATACGGATTTGTCATTGTATATCACTGCTAATGGTGTAGCCGTCGTCACCTATATAACAATTAAGAAGTTTTTTTTTTTTTAGTGTGTGTAAAAATAATAATTTATCATTGTATTACCATGAAACCATTATTCACGCCCGGGTGTCCAACGTCGTGTCCTAAACTAGCCATTAATAAGGCAAGTATATCAATCGGTCGTAGCAAATCTTTCAGCCGCTTTTGGTGTAATGTCTGATTTTTTTGCAGGTTGGGAGACCACCCAATGGGGTTTAAAAGGTGGATCGAGCAGAGTGTGTACCATGTCGATTGCATCACGTCCACCGCATGCTTAAAGTTATGATATGGATTTGAATTGTGATACGAATTGCAAACGTCAAAGATAAAGTCGTACATAACATCTAATTTTGGAATGTGTCGGGGGGAGCATAAATATCATTTTTTTTGGTGTAACTCGTACCTGGTTTTTTATCATTATTTTTTTGACTTGCCTTTTTTCATTCGAAGTGAGTTTAATTCGGTTAATTGTTCGAATGTTTGGTCCAACATGATGTAAACGCAATGAACTAGCTCAACATCATTTAAATCCAATGGTGAAAAATTCCAGTCACACACAAACTCTTTTAAAAATGCTTGACGATCACTATTTTAAATGAATTCGGATAATGAGTAACATTCTAAATTCCGTGTTTCTTTTTTAAAAAAAAGACTGACCTTGATAAATCGTAAATAGACTGTCTCTTTTGCATACTGGGTTCTAGGATATATTGCTTATGTAGGTTGTTTGACAACCTAAAAAGATGAGTGTGAGGTAAATAAATTAAAATCGACTGGAAATACAGTTTTTGTAGGCTATACCAATTGTCGTCTTTGGATATAAAATCAAGTCTATCCTGAATGGTTCTCTGGACGGGTTTACTTTGATGACGATGCACATTCTAGTGTATTCATAAATCTTAGAAGCTTCTTTTTCCATTCCCTTTTCGGAAAACCAAACTTACCAAAAACATCGTCTTCATGACGGGTTCTCTAAATGGCTTTAAAATAAAATCAGAGGCGCCTGTTTGAATACATTCTATCATTAAAGGATATGAATCGTTTTTTGAGCAGGCTTTATTTTTGATCCATATTAGAAACATCATTTCTTTACTGATTTTTTTTTTTGTTTATTCCATCTTACCGATAGGGATAATGTTCATGAGGTGATCGTATTGAATAGATTGGCATATCTTCTCAAGGAAACAAAAATGATGATCGATATCAATCAACAATAAAATAGGCATCGTACAATTTTTTCTGGTCATGATGGATAACATGGCATCCTGTGCATTTGCAACGATTTCAACTATTTATACAATATAAACGCTTTGTTTGTTTGTATATTATCCCTCCTTTTTTTTTTTACCATTCTTAAACGTGTTTTTCATGATGTCTTCATTTTCTCCACTTGGATCATCCACAAAAACCGTTTTAAACTCTCTATTATACATGTTCATCTTCTTAATTTGATATGTTGTAAAGAATGAAAAAGAAGAAGAGAGAAACAAAACAAAAAAACAAAAAAGCGTAAATTTATTTATTTTTATTGGCTACAGAAAAAAAAAAAAAAAAAAAAAAAACTTTGAAACACCCTTCTTATTTCTTGTGTGTGTGTGCTTCGTGAATGAGTAGTAACCTGATCAAATAAAAGGATTCAACAAATAAACAAACAAGCAAAAAAAGAGGGGGAATACCAATAAAAAAATGCCCCAAAACAAAAAGCTTTTCAGACAACAAACTAAAAAAAACCCACGTTATTTTGTCAGTGTGTTTAAAACAATTTTTGTTTGAATCGGAGCATTTTTCCTTTTGATAGAGCAAATGAAAATGGCACTATAGAAAGAAAGGTCACCTCCCTGTGTAACTGATAATTCAACCTTTTTATCGATTATTTATAATATATGTTTCGTTTAATCATTGCATTACGTGTCTTATTATCTGCTTTCTTTGCTATCTGTTCTTTTTATCAAGTTCGATAATGGTCTCTTTTATTGTGCTTTGAAAATTTGCTATTGGTTATCTTTCAGTTGTCTTATCTGCTTATGCAAGACTATCAAAGGATCTTGTCTATACATCGTTAGGAACACTGAATGTCCCTGATGCAATTTCTGGTTTTTGATTTCTCATTCGTCCGAAAAAAAAAAAAGCCCAGTCATCTGATTTTTTTTTATTTGTTTAACTTGACTGTAAAAACAGCAACCTCAACAACCTAGTGTACTGTGTATTGTATTACCCACTCACCTGATGGATTGGGTGGTTTACGCGCTTGTTGCCTTCATTGGGTGAGGAGACCATCTTCGAGGCCTTGTCAATATGCGTGATTGGACTGTGATTAAGCAATTACAGCAGACGTTTGCTTATGAGGAATGAATAGCCTGCCCGTCAACATCCACAAATAAGAGTGCCGCATTTATTTTACAAGCCTTCCCACCAATACTTCACCTAATAAATCTTCATTTCAACAAATATAACATTTTATAACCTTAAATTCTTGTCTCTCTCTTAGCCATTCTTTATTTTTGGAAATTAAAAAGAATCAGATCTCTTATCTTTTTATTAAAAAAAAAGGGGGGGGGAGGACAGGTAACAGGCTTAGTGAGTAAGGTTGGTTTATTTAATTAGGGTGTTGGCAAATCAGATTGATCACTACTATCCTCAGACTCTTCAACTCCAATGGGTGTCGAATGATGATGACTTGGTAACCGTAGTGTATCTAAAGTAATATCAGACAAATGCCGGGCTCCGTTTGCGAGTTCATTTGTCGCACGAGGTATTCTTGTTCTGGGCGTAATCAAGTATCCTAAGGAGGGTGGATCATGATGAAATGGCACTTCTACTCGCGTTTGACGTTGACCAAGTTCCAAGGCATGTTCCTCTTCATTATCTTGAATTTCATCAAATATGTGACGATTTATTAAAGCTTCTGCTTCGGTCAGAAGCCCATTGGTAAAGATTTGTGGTGGTGGTGGTGTTGGTGATGGTGATGGTGATGATGGTGCCACGGCTATCTCAAAAGAGTCAAACTCCGAAGTAACTTGTCTTGAAATAGCAGCCAAGTTGTCAGAAAGCTGGGCAATGGCAGTATCTACGGCATGCTCAAATGCACGTGTTACATTCATAAGTATATCGATTGATGATTCAGTGGCAGGTATTGCTACTAAAGGCAATGGAAATATATCAGTTTGAATTGTTGACGGTTCGGGAGGGTCTAGTTGTTGATTAATCCTTTCTAGTTCGCCCGAAGTTTCGGCTTCCTCTTCTTCTGGGGCGGCGCTAACTTGTTCCGTACCAGAGTTATTATTGGTTTCTTCTTGAGAAATAGGATGAGTTTCTTCAGGTGTATGAATTTCATCTTCAGTAGCTGCCTCTTCTTGTCTAGTATCTCCTTCTTCAGGTTCAGCGTTTTCCTCAGTATTATGGGTCTCTTCTTCGATACGATTGCTGTCTTCCCCAGTAGTTGCCTCTTCGGATTCAACATTTTCTGTTTCTTCAACATGATGGGTATCGTCTCTAGTAGCTATCTCTTCGGATTCGGTAGTTTCTGAAACTGGTGTAATGTCTTCTCCGGTAATCTCTTCAATAACTTCTGTACCTTCAACACGATTTAAGTCTTCTCCAGTAAATTCCTCGTCTGATTCGATAAGCGCTGTGGGTGAGTCGGCTTCTTCGAACAAATGTGTTTCCTCAGACGAATTACTGCCATTGGAAGAGCCGTCTTCTGGGGAAGAGATGGTTGTAGAGCTGGATTCAGATGACACGTAATCTTCAGGAGATGAAACGTGTTCAGGTGAACTATCATCTTCAGACGATGAATTAGGCTCTTCTAGCAATTGGTGTTCAGCATTAATTTGCTCTTCCGAGTGGTCAGGCTCTTCTTCAGAAGGTTGAATGGTTTCCTCCGTGGTAGATTGATTGGCTTCTTCTGATATTGGCGTTACTGCTTCAGAGATAACTTCATCTTCAGCTTGTTCTGAAATTAAAAACAGACGTGTATGATTACTCTTAGCATTAACATGAGCAGCAGTATTTTGGGTTGGGGATGCTTTAAGACGGCGATGGGAAGACTTTAGCTTCTTTTTTCGATGGGAATTGTTCTGTTTAGTCTGCTTTCTTTTCATATCTGGCTTTTTTTTATTTATGGTTGTGGTTTATAAGGGGTAAATAACTCCGGAAAACTACTGACATATATATGGTGGCAAAAAAATTGACACAATGAAGATCATGCACAAAGAGACCAATCCTTTGAAAAGTGGTGTAATGCCCAGAAAAAGACGATTGTTTTATGATTATAAATAGTAACAAAAAGGCGGTTTATTCTTTACGGATTGAATTAGCTGAAAGCAAAACAATAAAAAAAAAAATAAAAGTAACAACAATAACATCGATGTGATATTCAAAGGCATATATGTACCAAAGTAAGGGACTTATTTTTTTTTTTTGTCTTAAAATAAGCATGACTTTTTTTTTTTTCATCCTCTCTCTCCAGTTTTTGACTTGATACACAATTAATGTACCCATTTGCTATATCACTTTAGTTCTTTTCCCGCCAAATCCTTGTATAATCAATTCGGCTACTTAAGAATAAACTAAAGCGTAAAAAGAATTAATCATAATAAAAACCATTCTGATATCATCAAAAGTCCTGATTTTATCGTCCAAACAAGCAAACCGCTGTTTTTCTTCTGATTAGTAACAAAGACACACAAAAGGACCATTGTCACTATTAGAAGAACTTAATAAACCTACCTTTATATCTTCCCCATGACTTTTTTTTGGTGTAGCATTCCGTCATATATTTCAGGTTATTTACAAGCCTTTGTGATTTTTTGCTCTGTCAGAATAAGTAAACCCAGCACATTTTGTGTTTGCCTTTAGAGAAGCTTGCAGGTTTTTTTTTTTTTTTTTTTTTTTTTTTTTTTTTTTTTTATTTTTAGTTTGTGTCTTTTTCACTAATTCACAGGTTATAAAATAAAGCTTGTGAATAGACTTGGCGATATGATTATAAACAATTTCAAACATATGTCCTCTAATATATCCATATAAGAATCTCTCCTCTTAAATCCATTACTTTTAACTTTTATCTGACTACATTGTAAATTTATATATATCGTGCTTGAATGTTCAAACCTTATTCTGATACTAATTACCCGGTAATGGCTACTTTATATCAATCCAAATATTGCAGGCCTGGAAACAATAATATAATTAAAATCCGCAGTTAGTACTTTAGAGTGCATAGTTCTCATTGAGGTGCCATAAGTGCACGTCGTCTCTTACATTTTAGTTAAGCATCCAAGCGAAGTCGTAATAAATGTTTACAAATGGCCTTATGCGGCGTCACCTCTCGCGGGGCTTAAATACGTGTTTAATTGTAAATGCAAAAATGCGAAAAACACCAACACTATTTTTTCTTTTTCTTACACTAATGACGGTAATCACGAAAACATTCAAAGCAAAATTTTGTATCTTACTCTTTTAAAAACAGGACCCAAAACTCAGTGCTGTTCAAACACGTATGTTCCAAGCAAAAGCTGAACGAAAATTAAGGTAAGAGCAAACAGTGCACCGATCTACTGTTTTTGTTACTGACAAAGATATAACATGTGTAGCTTTGAAGATATTGGTAAAGCAATGGAATGTAACGAAGTGTATGCCGCTTCCATTTTTTATGGACAGGTAACAGTTAGAGATAGTTGATGTATTTTATACATTTTAAATGTTTATTCGCGTTATTCTATAGGCAAAACCAACTAGACATGAAATCCAGAAACTGTGTGAAATATTAAATATCCCAACAAGTCATTTGGTAGACGAAATGGGCGAACATTTCTATCCTTCAAGAGGAGGGTAAAATATTATGCAAAACAAACAAACATAAAAAAAGTTGGCATACATATTCACACACACACGCACATGATAGTCTAATGCCAATGCCTCCCACTGATCCGACTTTATATCGATTCATTGAAATGATTCAAGTATTTGGATATCCATTGAAAGCAATCATTCACGAAAAGGTAGAATTGCAAAAAAAAAAAAAAAAAAAAAAAAAAAGAGTATGGGGACTAATCCAAATATAGTTTGGTGATGGAATTATGTCTGCTATTGATTTCAAAGCCAATGTTGACAAGGTAAGCATGTAAAAATAAATAATAGAAACACATGCTCACCATTAGTGTCAAAAAAAGATTGAAGATCCAAAGGGAGACCGTGTAAAGATCACACTGGATGGAAAGTTCTTGCCATATAAGAAATGGTAATCCTACTGTCTGTTTTAAAACATTAAATAAAAAAAAATAAGTTGGGGTTGTACATGGCAAAACGATCATGCAGCCTTTATCCAATCTGGGCAAAAAAAAAAAAAAAAAAAAAAGTTCTGCCCCTGCGATTATCATGCAATTTTATGTTCCCCGCACAGAAAAAGACAATGGGTTAAATGACGTCAAATGACCCCTGATAAGAACGGGAAATTAAATATTTTTAATACAAGTAAAATGGTAAAATTCAAATTTTTATTATGTTAATGTGAGTGAGAGAGAGTGTGTGTGTGGGGGGAAATATGTATAATGTCAAACGATTTATTGGACGAAAGCGTTACCCTTGACAATGTTCTTCTTTAATTCGGGAACAGCCTTGGAGATGAGCTCCTTCTCGTAGTCAGAGATCTCACCGAGACCGTGGATCTTCTCGACACCTTCGGGACCGAGTTCAATGTTGGTAGAGAAGAACTCAACACCTTCCTTGGCAAAGATATCAGATTGGACGAAAGAGGGCTCAACGACACCCTTCTTACCACCAACAGTGGCTTCCAAAACAGAGTTGGCCATACGGGCACCAGCATAAGCCATGGAGAGAGTGGCAGAACCAGTACCGTTCTTGGCTTGAACAACTTCATCACCACCGAATTGGATACGGTGAGTTAAAGCATCGAGCTCTTCCTTGGTGAATTCAAGACCGGTTTGAGAGAGGAGAGGGACAATGGTGACACCGGAGTGACCACCAACAACAGTGACCTTAACATCCTTGGGGTCGAGGTTCTTGGTTTGGGCAACGAAACGAGAAGCACGGACAACATCAAGGGTGGTAACACCATAGAGACGCTTGGGGTTGAAGACACCAGCCTTCTTCATGGTCTCAGCAAAGATGGGAACAGTGGAGTTGACAGGGTTGGAGATGATGAGGAAATGAGCATTAGGACAGTACCTAGCGACGAAAGTTAGTATCTATATTCTCTCCCTTTACTTGTACCAAACACACATGCACACATGCACACACAGTGTCTCTCTTTCTCTGTATTATATATAAACTTACTTGGCAGCAGCAGTGGCAAGGTCACGAACAATGGAGGCGTTGGTGTTGAAGAGATCATCACGGGTCATACCAGGCTTACGGGGAATACCAGCGGGGATGACAACGACGTGAGCATCAGTAAGAGCTTCCTTCAAACCGTCGTTTTCGGGAGTGTGACCAGTAACGATGGAGTTGGTGTTGATGTGACCAATATCAGCGGCAACACCAGGAGCGTTGACGATATCGTAGAGGGAAAGGTGGGTAACATGAGGGTTTTCCTTCAACAACAAAGATAAAGGTTGACCAATACCACCAGCGGCACCGAGAACAGCAACCTTGGAGAGGTTAGCAGCAGAGGTGGAGAAAGAACGCTTGGCAGCAATAGAGAAAAGACGAGAAGTGGCAAACATTTTTTTTGTTAAAGAAATAAACAAGGAAAAAAAAAAGAAACGCGGGGTTCTCTCACCTTTACCTTTATATGTTTCTCTCCAACCCCGGAAACTCAGTCACAAATAATAAAAAATAAAAAAAAAAAAACGGGTAAACCATCAGGGGGATTCATATTTTATTTCTGAAATAGTAAATCACGGTTAATTTTACTGCTTACAGCGTTTGTTGACTTTAATGTTCGAATAGATGAGAGTTGAGCATTATTAATGATTTGATTCATAAAAGAAGTCGACGAGTGTTGTAGGTTTGCTATTAAAGTACCCACAAAGCTATTGAAAGCAAATGTCAACAAGGATATATGACCTGCGGAAAATATATACACTTACCAATCACCCGCACCTGTTACACTCTTAATTTCATCTGGCTGGATATATTCAGGTGAAAAATATTTAACAACCGAGTGACCAGCATTTGTTTGACCCACATATAAACATCCCTGTTCACCTAATTTCGTAACAATATTGGGAATATAATTGGACAAGTAAATTGCGTGTGGCAATACCGAATGGGCTAATTGAGGTGCATCTATCTCACCCCCAAAAAAATAATAATTAATTACCCGTAACCCCTCTCTCTCTCTCTTTCTTTTTTGTCATTAGTGTTTACTTTTCAACTGCTGAACATGCTTGGAAATAGGGGTCTTTAATGACAAGATGGGATGAGAATGAATGGTATCACACATTGCTTCCAATTCAAATTGGTTTGGAGAGGTATATTGAACAGATTGAGCTTGAATCGTCTCCGCATGTTGGAATAACTTTAAAGATTTAGGCACCGATGTAGGTTCAAAGAGAGCTTTACATCACATATAAATCAAAATTTACTTTTTTTTTTTTTTTACACCCCCTTAATTTTATTTTTTTTACCTGGAATTGAAAGTGACTTGCATGTAACAGTAATGGATCTCATCATGTCTGATGTGATATTGCCATCAAAGCATACAAAATTAGGCTTTTCTGCCTGAATAATCGATACAATGCGACTCACATCCATCGAATCAAAGATATTCATATCGGCAACAGCAGCCACTAACTGTCCATCATTTGAGTGCAATGCATTGTAAACCTACAATCACTCTATATTGGTATCACACATTTTATCTGTTTTTAGATTGCATATTTACAGCAGTGGGCTGGTTTTCGAGGGTTTGAATATATTCAGTATTCTAAATCCTCTATTGTTAGTGACAAGTAAAGGAAGTCTGTTGCTGCATTTACCATGCCAATGGACTTCATGCCTTGCTTTACAGCTTCACCTGCTAAATCAGAACCAACAACAGACACGAGCTTCACATGATGACCACCAGTTCGCCATGCAGCCTCAGCTACGTTACGTCCGACCCCACCTAAACTTTGTTTTACATGACCTGGTGTAGAGGTGTGTAGAATAGAAGATAAGGACTTTCCAACTGTAGCAGTAATGTCGAGAGCAATGCCACCAATAACGAGTAACTATAGAAACGAGAAAATAGAGTTTTAGCTATATACAAAAAGAAAGGTAAATGCACTGACAGGTCTATTCATGAAAAAAAAAAAAAAAAAAAAAACGCGTGTAAAAATTAAAGTGTTGACGAAGAGAGAAACCAAAGTTATAATTGGATAAGTCTAATTCCCGATATAAATTAAGCTGTATTGAAAGAGGTACAAACTACATCAACAGCCCCTCCTATTTTTTTGTACTCCTTGTTTGCCTTTCATTTTTTTTATTTATTTATTTACTTTTTTTTCTCTTTCTCTCTTTCTCTCTTTTTATATCTATCTTTTTCTCTTTTCAAAGACGTCAAACTCGTAAGTATTTATTTTTATCACGCTTATTTTTAGAATGACATTGACAATTGTTTCGTCAAGGTTCAAATAGACAATGATGAAGGGATGGAAAGAAGCTGTATGTATACAAAGGCAGTTTTTTATTTTTGGGGGGCGAGAAAAAATAAAGTGTATAAATTTTAATGACTATTTACAAATATAGCTTACAAGAAAAAGTACGGCCGATACTGTTGAAAATAACAGCGTACCACCAGACTCACCTAAACCGAATATTGTTGTTGATTCATCAAGCCTAGTTGATATGGTAAATATAATAATGATATAAAAAATAAGGAGAAAATGACTAATTTTTTTTTCTTTTTTACCATTATATTCTCTAGTCACAACAGATAAAGAATAATTCTCGTGTTATTAATAATAATAACACTAATTTTATGCATAACTCTCCTCATGTCAAACCTGGTGATAGAGATGTACCAAAGACGGGTCCGTTACATCATCGTTTAAAAAACGCTCCAATGGATCAAATTCCTATCAGCAAAGCACCTCGTAGACAAAAATCTTCTCGATTTTATGTTACTGAAAAAGTAGTCTTGGAACCAACACCTGCCTTTCATGGTAAGTGTGTGTATAAATATGTATATTAATTGCCTAAATAAAGTTATACTAAAAAAAAAAAAAAAAAAAAAAAAAAAAATAGAGGTGCCAAGTCATATGCGTCCAGATTTGTTCATTCAAAAGATCAAGCAATGTACCGTCGTGTTTGATTTCAGTGATGCATCTGCTGAACTTCGAGAGAAAGAAATCAAACGTCAAACTTTACAGGAAATTTTGGAGCATATTTCAATGAATAGAGGGGTTTTAACTGAAAATGTCTATCCAGAAATTGTCAATATGGTAAACAAAAAGAAATGCTTTATATACATTCACATTGACTTACATATCTCATAGTTTGCCATCAATCTTTTCCGTCCTATCCCACCCCAAGTCAACCCAACAGGCGACGCATTTGATCCAGAAGAAGATGAGCCAGTTTTGGAATTAGCTTGGCCTCATTTACAAATCGTATACGAATTTTTCTTGAGATTTTTGGAATCCCACGAATTCAATATCAATTTTGCAAAGAAACACATTGACCATAAATTTATTCATCAGGTAAGGTAAATGATACAGTAAGGAAGGACAGAAAAAAGAAAGAGAAAAGAAAGAGAGAGATTGTTTTAAGTAGGGAAAGGGTTGTTTTAACTAATACATCCATGTTAGTTGTTAGACCTTTTCGATTGTGAGGACCCAAGAGAACGTGATTTTTTGAAAACAACCTTGCACCGAATATATGGAAAATTCTTGAATCTGCGTGCATTCATTCGTAGATCCATCAACAACATCTTCTTCCAATTCATCTATGAAACTGAAAGACATAACGGTGTTGCTGAATTCTTAGAAATCTTGGGTAGTATCATCAACGGGTTTGCGTTACCACTCAAGGAGGAGCATAAATTGTTCTTGTCCCGTGTACTCGTACCTTTACACAAAGTAAAATCGCTTGTATTATATCATCCTCAATTGGCATACTGTGTAGTTCAGTTCTTAGAAAAGGATCAAAATCTCACCTACGATGTTATTACTGGACTTTTACGTTATTGGCCCAAAGTAAACAGTACAAAGGAGGTCATGTTTTTGAATGAAATCGAAGAGATTTTGGATGTCGTGGAAGTGCACGAGTTTCAAAAGATTATGTGTCCCTTATTCACAAAGTTAAGCCAATGTGTCGCAAGTCCTCATTTTCAAGTGTCCGAAAGAGCATTGTACTACTGGAACAATGAATATGTCGTCAGTATGATGGCTGAAAATATCAAGGTGATTATGCCTCTCATATTCCCTACCTTATACAAGACATCAAAGACACATTGGAACAAGTAAGTACCCTTCATCCATATCCTATTGAATGCTCATCCCTATTTGCTATAGAACTATTTTGAGCTTGGTCTATACAGCATTAAAACTTTGTATTGATATTGATCCAACATTATTTGATGAATGCGCCAATGAATACAAGAACCAAAGACAATCTGAACGCAAGCATCAAAAGGAAAGGGAAGATAATTGGAAATACTTACAGCAAAAAGTAGAAAGGTTGACCATGAAGGAGACTGTTGAGATAGAGCATAACGACATTCCAACACACGTATTACAAGATGATTTATTAGAGGATGTTGATATTTTGGAAACAGAATCTCCTCCTTCTGAACAGACAACCACAGAGCAAAAGGATGATATTCATCCCGTGATGCAACAGTTTGATACTCAACCTACGCAATATCAATTCTTCAGACGTAAATCGATTATACCAGTGGACGAGACTGTATTTCAAGAGTTATCCCGTCATGTCAGTCTTGATGAAGTGCTTAATGGCGCACCTGGTGGTTCTATTCATAATACTAATATATAAATTCCCTTCTTTTTTATTATTCATTAAAATAAAATATAAAACAAAAAACAAAAAAAAAACTCTAAATTAAAATTTACAACTACCAACCCATCTAGGCATAGGAATGACTTCACGCACATTTTCCAAACCAGTCAACCAAAGTAACAGTCTTTCAAACCCGATACCATAACCACCGTGGGGAGCACTACCATATTTACGTAAATCCAAGTACCATTGATAATCTTCCATGTTCATCTTGGCATCCTTCATCTTTTGCTCCAAGATACCGTAACGTTCTTCACGCATGGATCCGCCCACAAGCTCACCAATACCGGGTAATAACAAATCAAAGCATCCAACGGTTTTACCATCCTCATTGGCTCTCATATAAAATGGTTTCAAGTCAGCGGGATAGTCTGTCACGAAAACGGGTTGTTGACAATACTCTGAAGCCAAATAACGTTCATGTTCAGATTGAAGACTGGATCCCCAAGTGGTGGGATATTTGAATCGATTCTTGTCCTTCTCTTGGACTTTTTGTAACACCTCGATAGCTTCTGTATAAGTCATTCTGACAAATGGTTTATCTACACTCTTGTGTAATCTTTCTAAAAGAGATTTATCAACCCATTGGTTGAAAAATGCGAGATCGTCGCTACAAGTGTCTAATACATGACGTGTTGTTTGTTGGACACTGCCTTCTGTCACATCCAAAAGAGGTTGCAAATCATCAATAAATGCCATTTCTGCTTCCAACATCCAAAATTCTGCCAAATGTCTCGAGGTCAAGGATTCTTCTGCTCTGAATGTAGGGCCAAATGTATAGACTCTGGACATGGCAGATGCCATAATCTCGGCGTGTAATTGGCCAGAGACGGTCAAATAAACTGGTTTTTTGAAAAACTCGGTAGGTTCTTTGGAGTCAATAGGTGTGATCTTGAAAACTTCTCCTCCTCCTTCACAATCATGCGAGGTTAAGATGGGTGTGTTCGTAAGAATAAATTCTTGCTCTCTAAAAAAATCACGAATGCCTTCACTGGCAGCATTTCTGACTCGAAGTACGGCGCTACCAGTATTGCCTCGCATTCTCAAATGTCCAATACTTCTAAGGAATTCATTGGTATGGCGTTTCTTTTGAAGTGGGTATGTCTATAGGCAAAAATAAAGTTCGAAAACGCAGACATAAAAATTAAGCACGTATATATGTACTTACAGTGTCACATTCACCCAAGACCTTGATATGGTTTACTTGTAACTCCTTGCTTTGTTCCTTACCGGGACTGGCAATAAGTGCGCCTTGCAACTCAACACAAGCTCCAGTTGTCAACCTAAACATACATATAAGTCCTTTGTGTGTCTGCATAATAATCGGGATCCTTGTCTTTTTTTTTTTTTACAGTTGAGCATCTTTTTCGTTTAAAATAGCCTGAATGCCTTTCAAGTTGGAACCATCGTTAATAGTGGCAAAACTAACTTGCTTTTGTTTACGCACAGATCTAACCCAGCCTCGAACCGAGACTTGATCAGCATCTTCTTTTAACAAAGTCTTAATCGTCTTGTTGGGTAACAAGGATTTCGTAGCATAGCTCGCCTTTTGAAAAAGTCGTGGAATGGCAAAGCGATTCATTTCGTTTTTTTTTTATTATTTATTGTAAGGGGGTGGGCCCCACTCGACTTTTGCCCTGTTTTTTGACATGCAAACTTTACTTTACACTCCGATTTTAATCGCAGGGCCACTCGATCAATCATGACAGCTAGCAAACAATATGTTTTTTACTCTCCTAAAACGCTTGTACATACTTTCTACACCTTTCAGTATTATAAAATGACACAAGATTGTTTAACAGATAGTTAGAAGAAAAGGAAAGAGACTTTTCAGGAGAGTCAGGCAATAGATATGCAAGCAATCTATTTTTTGACCAACAAGACCCTTATTTACTATGATGCCATCAGAAGTGGCAGTTTACATCAAATGAAATCATTCTGTATTTACTACTATCTATGTAAGGGTAATAAACCATAACTTACAAAACCAACAAAAAGCAATTGTCAAACACCTATGGCCAATCACTTTACAGAAAAGTGAAGGCACTAAGCGATAATCTCGGTACTCTGCAACTGTTTTTCTATCAAAATTTATAAGAGGTTTCTAAATATAACATTTTAATAACTATTGGATACTATGATATAGTTTTGTATAAGCTATGAGAATTATGACGGCGATTATTGGAGTCCTTGACCATACGGCCGTCGCATTATCACATATTCAGTTACGGTGTTTATTTTTGAAGTCGTAATAATCCAGGTAATGTAAAAGCCAAAGTAACATCTGAAGTAGCAACGACGGTATACATTGTTTGGCCTGACTTACTTAAGTTTTTTAAAAAAACACGCTGTATTGAAGATGGTGCGGTATATTAAGAAAGGTTCAACGAAATTAAAGACAAGTTAGTCATTTGATAAGTGTCCACGGGTTTTAAGTTGAGATCGTTCCATCTGTTCTCAAGATAACAGCACACGACGCAGAGGTTAATGGACCCAACCATGAAAAGGATGCTGTCAGGTTAAGATTCAGGTTCCAATTTGTGTTCCTGAAAATTGTGAGGAGTCCGGGATGGGGGCGACAAAAAAATATAAAAAATAAAAATAAGCCCGGGCCGAACCAAGGATTGAAGGATATAATAATTTTTCAAAGGGAGGAAATATAAAAGGTCTTTAATCGTCTTGTATCCCTCGGGTTAAATCGTTACTTGCGAATCCTTACCTATTCATCATGTCTGCCGAACTTGCTGTTGTTTATGCTGCCCTCATCCTTGAGGATGATAACGTTGAAATCACCGTAAGTAGATAAATAGATAGATTAGTGGATGGATGAATAGAATACTAAACTGGATTATTTTTTCGTTCGATAGGCCGATAAGCTCCAAACCCTTGTTGCTGCTGCCGGTATTGAGGTTGAGCCTATCTGGTTCTCCCTCTACGCCAAGGCTCTCGCTGGTCAAGACCTCAAGGCCCTTCTCATGAACGTTGGTGCCCCTGGTTCCGGTCCCGCTGCCTCTTCTGGTGCTGCTGCCGCCTCTTCCGATGCCCCCGCTGAGGAGGAGAAGGTCGAGGAGAAGGAAGAGTCTGACGATGATATGGGTTTCGGTAAGTTGTGAATTGCATTGGGTTTCTTAACATGTTCTAACTTTTATTTTTTACTTTCAGGTCTCTTTGATTAAATTCAATTCAGATCAACAGATTATTTAAATTAATAAATTTTTATTTTGAATCCTTACTCTACTTTATTTTTTCGTTGACATTGACGTCCTGGAAGGAAGCCGACAAAATTACCTTTCACTAACGGCAAGATGAACGGGATGTTTACAAAGGATAGTTTATGTTGTGTGTACTATTTTCAGAAGTGCTGGCACTTATTGGAATAGGTGTGTCAACACCTATAATTAATGGTCAATGGATAGTGTGTCCCCAATATTAAATTGTAATCACTTTCCATTATTAACGTACCAACAGTACTTTGAGCCTTTACCTGATTCAGCCTATAACAGTAGCGTCCCTTGATTCTAAACAATTTATTCGGTCACCAGCATTGATTTTCATTGGTCTCTGTCTGGCACACTCGTATATATGTTTAAGTTTTTTAAGCACCTTCAATTCTTTGACTTTTGTAGTCGTGTTTTATCGGTTGATGGCATTAGCCACGATGCTGAATAGGACAGACGGACAAGAAAATTTATCATTGTTGCTCACATCACAAAAATACACGCAAATTATTTACTCGATTATGTGTGCAAGACTTCCAAGTGCTTTTGTACACGTTTTAACTGCGCAAACACCACACTAAAGAAGAAGGTATTTGACTACAGAGGCCTGCATACCGCCCAGTTTTCCATGCCTACTAAACAAGTATTACATATCATTTCACAGGAAATTGCTGATGTGTATGTATCCGTGGAGAAGTTGTCAAAACATAGCAAGTACGTGCGGCTAAAGTCACTTTAAGTGATTTTAACCCTATGACCTGGAGGATGCCTTGTTAATAGTGCCGTTGCAACTAACATCTTAAAAAAACAAAATGTGCGCTTAGATAATGGATGTGGTATGTACAGTTCATCCAATTCATAGAAAGTTAAGTCTATCTGCTTACACCACAAGACAAAAGTGAGACGAGGATTTGATCCCGTATATTCGGCAAATATGTTACAGATATTCGTCATAGGAAGTAGGTCAGCGCTGGACACTCAGTTTTAAGAGTCAACAAAACGTGGAAGTTTTCGAACAAGCAAAAGCTAACTTACTTATCAAAACAATACTGTTGAAACATTCCGCATAGTTAGCTGATAGGTCCCGACCACACAGACGCCCAATCTAATTCTCGTGTCATAAGATAGGGCTAATTAGGGTATACATTATTTGCGTCTGGCCTTGGCACTCTACTTTGCGAACTATTTACAAGTGGCCTATCAAGTAGCTAATACTGACACTCAAAGACCCATCTACAGCTTGTTGGACCCATCATTGCTGCACGGTTAAATATACTATACATTGGTCATTCTCTCTCTTTTGTGCTGACCATAAAGTCCTGTAGGATTTCGACATAGCATATCTGTACAAAGATGTAGACGCTCAAAAAGAAATGTCAGAAAATGTAGTCTTTAATTATCCAGACCTGTTGTCGTAACTAGGTCGACCAGAGATATACTCAAGCGGTAAGAATTTTTTTCCCCCTCAATTTTACTCGGCTTTTGAACTGATCATATTCACATTTTGAACTAATGATTTCTGAAGATAGTGTAGTATAAGAGTATATTTAAATAAGGAGAGAGATTACAAAGTTTACATGATGTTACAGCTAGAAGATTTTTTGATTGTACTTCTAATAGCCGAATTAAATACCTCAGGTACTCCTTGACCTGTTAATGCAGAACATTCAACATATTTATAAGCGCCGATTTCTCTAGCGACGGCCAAACCCTAAATAACAATCACAATAAAAGTGTCAGTGTGTAAGCCCTATTGTTGTTTGTTTGTGTAATGTTTCTTACTTGTTGATATGTAACGGGCTGAAGATCTTGTTTCTCAAGTTCTTGTAAGACTTGAGTTTGATCTCGAAGATCGATTTTACAACCGACTAATAGTAACGGTAAACCAGGACAGAATCTTTTGACTTCAGGCATCCACTAATAGGTATGGGAAAATATGTGTCAGTTTCATCTCACTTGCTTTTTTATTTATGTTTATAATTGATCTGTTACCTTTTCTGTGATATTCTCCAAAGATTCAGGAATATCCACTGAAAAAGCAATGAGGACAACATCTGAATCAGGATAAGATAAGGTTCTTAGTCTATCATAATCCTCTTGGCCTGCATAATAAAATGATTAGATATAAAAATAAAGAACGATTGGTCCATCGAATGTAACCTGCTGTATCCCAAAGTTCTGCGACTACTGGTTTATCATCGACAATTATGTCCTTGACAGTATTATCAAAAATAGTTGGAGTGTAATCTCCCTTAGAGAAAAAAAAGAGAAATGCATAAATGATTAAAAGAAGAAGAAAAAAAGAGCTTGTTTTTCCTATTCTTACTTGTGGGAATTTTCCTCGACTGAATCTGCTTAATAAACTGGTCTTTCCACATGCACCGTCACCTACGATTACTATCTTTCTCTTGATAGGTTCATCGTCTCCTGAAAAGCAGCAATTCATATTATATAAAGTAACGGATTTGGGGTTTTTTTGAAAAAAAAAAAGAAAAAGAAAGAAGAGAAAAAAGAAAAGAGAGAAAAGAGTTGAGCTTTTGGCTGATTGCTTAGCAAAAATAAAAATAAAAAAATCAATTTTGTAATTGAGGCTGGTGAGGCGTTTCCCTTTTTATTATCTACGTGTAACCTTGCCTTTAGTAACCTTTCTTTTCTTGGCATGAGTAAAATCAACTTCATCCTCATCTGAGTCCGAGTCAAGCATATCCACTAATTCATCCTCTTCCTTTTGTAAAGCAATAGCCAAAAGTAAATCCTGATCTTCAGATGGCTGCATTTCTACCTCTGGGGTATCTGGAGTGGTTGAAATAGGACTGCCTGGTGTGGGTGTACCAGGTGTCTTGGGCGAAGTAGACAGTAACTTTGATTTTAATTTATCAATGCGAGATGGATGCGCTTCTCCAATCAACATGATACTCTGTCGTACCTTTTGGAGTTCCAATTCTAATCTTCTCAGGCTTTCTCTTTTTTGTTCAAGTGTGGCCATAGGCTAAAAGAAGAAAAGGATTAGTTCCTGTGCTTTTCAATCTATATATAAAATCATGGCCAATTTACTTGCATCTACTACTTTGGGTAAAACAATATCTTTGTATTCTGATTCGTGTAATTGGTATCTGCAATAATGTCAATATCATTTTATATATAAACAAAAATCACTTACGCTTCTCGGTTAGCAATAACCCTATTCTTCAGTTCCTCACGCGAGAGCTTACCACCAGTGTTGACAATACAGTTATTCTTACGTCTAATACCAGGTCCTTGAATTAAAGCATTCTTGGCACCAATCACTTTAGGATCAATATGAAGACTTGCAAATTCTAGCTGGGCATGTCAGTTTTTTCTTTTTTCTTTTCTAACTGCAAAAGTCAAGATTTCGAAGCTTACCTGCTGTACTTTGTTGTCCCAATAATCGTTGTAATTGAAGATTCATTTGGGCATTGGTTTTACCTGGTAAACAGGCACTGTCAATGATCTTTGCCCAATTACCCACACCAAACTTCATCAAAGCTTTTCTTAAAATTTCGGATTCTTCTTCGGTCCAACCAGGTGATAAAGTACAATTCCAAAGACTCGCTGAATCATTGGATCGAAGTACATTACGGGCACCCGCCGGCATACTACGTGGTTTAGCTACGTTCATGCTTAAATGTTGTTGGTTTGATACAGAGAGAAGAGGAAGAAAAAAAAAATATTCGCGAACTTGAAAAATAAATAAAGACTGAGAGCGCGACGTGTTTTTATTTAACACTCCACTTCAACATGAACAATGTACCATTTCCTTTAATTATACCCATTGATGAAGCCAACAAGGTATATAAAGGATATGTACCAATCCATGTAAGACAAGCAGTTTAAAAATAGCGTAGAAAACTAAATATCTCCAGAGCAAAGAATATTTGATACAGGTCCAACTTGGGCCAAAAGGCGGGCTGTCTGGTTCAACACAGTTAGAACAGTTGGTGGAACAGCGCAAAAAGGCAGTTGAAACAAAGCTACATCAAGCCACCGATATTATGTCGTTTCTTACAGAATTAAAAGAGATCTTGGAATCAGTGCCATTAGAGAAAACAGTAAAGACGTTTAATTATTCTTCTGGTCGCTACACCAGTATTTATGCAGAGTTGACCAGGATTGGATTTGATAGAATTCATAGCATGTCTGATACCATGAATGAAATAGTGTTTGTAACTCGGTAAGCAATTTGTGTATATATATATATGTGTGTGTGTGTCTTCAGACAAGTGTATTTACCAATGTGACAGTGATAAGGGTGAGCGTGAGCACTTATTAAGAGTGTCGCTTTCGAACGAATACCCGTTTGTTCCAGCGCAGATAAGCAGTGATCTGCCCAAAGAGATGACGCCTAAACCATATTTGTATCAGGTTTTAGAAGAACATGAAAGTATTATAAACAAATACCAGCCTCTTTTTGATAGTCTAGATGATCTAGACAAACACATGCGAATCATCGAACCGGAACACCCCAAAAGAAATGATCTGTGGAGACGCATCGCATTAGGCCACCACTGTTCCTTTCATATCCAATTAGATCCCGATTATCAAAATACGAAGCCTGGCCTCATTCGTTTTTTTGGTAGTTCGAACCGTGTGCAAGATTTAAAAGCAAAATGGAAATCATATGCATGGTATAAAACATTACAACAAGGACTTTAATTAAAATCTAAAACTTTTTTTTTTCCAGGAATAAACAAGAAAGTCTCTCTGTGAACTTATTAAATTCGTTTCAAATTGAATCATCCAATACAAATAATGACTATACAAACACAAGTGATATTGAATGCGGTATTTGTTACTCCTACAAATTGGACAGTGGTGATTTGCCTCAAATCATTTGTAGTCATCCATTATGTAATCGAGGATTTCATTCGCTATGTTTATACGAAGTAATTAGAATGAAAAAGAAAATGATGTCATTGCACGACTAATAGTTCTTTTCTATTTTACATAGTGGTTACGATCGAACCCGACTACAACACAAAGCTTTAATGTCTTATTTGGAAAATGTCCATATTGTAATGAGGTATTTATTTATATGTTTTTTTTGTACAGGAGAGGGGTATTGTGTGACTCATTACTATTTTACAGAAAATTACCATCAAGGCAATCATATAAACAAATAAATTAGACAGCAATGGAATCTTCATAAGAAGGGGGACATGTGTAAAGACCATGGCTGTGTAACTTTTGGAGTTCCTGAGGAGTCATTACACAGTTATAAGCAGGAAGTTTGAGATAATCACGATCATCCAGTTGAGAAACTTGACTGTTTAACAGGTCAACATCCATTTGATAAGAGATAGTTCTTGTAGTATGACGGTCGGATACTATCAGAGACACCAAAACGACATGGGAGATTCTAAAGTCCTGGTATTCCATAGTGGAGTGAGATAGTTTGTCATCAGGTAACTGGTAATCACAAGTTGCTTGCCAGCCCTGGTTAATTGATTTTGATGGTAAATTGAGATGAGAATTCTTTGCGGGATAGATAAAGTGACAGGACTGGTTTGTATCATCATGAACAGTACGACGTTCAAGTACTTGGACAAATATTTGCTTCAATCTGAATCCTTGTATTAAAGGTGAGATTTCAAACTTAATACCGAGTTTTGAGCCAAGCGCGACGGATTTTTTGTCAATGGAGATTCGATATTTACACCAATCAGCGAATTGCTTTTGAGTAGCTAATGGGTGATATTGACGTTCGGGTAATCTTGCCAATACAATGGCTTTTGTGGACTCTTCATGTTGAACAGTGGGAATATTCATCTTTTTGTAAAGGAGACGTACGGACATGGTATATTCAACTTGGATATCTGATGACTTCACAGATTCGGGAATGCCTGAGGGTAGTGGCATTTCAAATGGGAATTTAGTTGTACCAGTAGTAGCAGGGATTTGAAGATCCTTCGACACTAGTTGCTGCACTTTTGAATCTAAAAAAGATAACAATGCATTAGTGCTAGTCCAAATATAGAAACTGTTATTTCTCATTATTTACCTTTTCTCCATTGTGTCTTCTTTAAACCGTCAAATTGAATAGAAAGATTTTTAATCACACAGTTATCAAGGTTTATAATGACAGTTCCACGCACCACAGGGGATGTTTCGTGAGTCTCATCAATGAAGATGACAGGCTCCAATAATTCAATCAGGATATGTTTAGAGTTTTTTTGTCTAGTCCACATTTTGTTATGTTATTTGTAAAAGTAAAAAAGAAAGATGGTTTTGACAAAATAAAAAAAAAAAAAGAAAAATTTGGTTCCTTTATTTATATCCCGAAGAAAATAAATAAATCGGGTTAGACCAATAAATGGTGTTGGTTTAATAAGAGCTTTAGTTTTCCAGTTTCATGTAACTCTTCAAGATCATCGGAGCCACCCAGAGTTTTTCCATTCAGAAAAATGTTTGGAAATGTTTCTCTTGCAGAAATTTCCTTCAATGCCAGCTTTACTTGATAATCATCATCTATTGTATTTTTAACAAAATAGTCAGTTTAGTACTCCCTCTTATTTTAAATCACAGCTTTACCTCTCAAGTCGACTTCAATCACTTGTAATGGCGTTTTTAATTGATATGTGCTTAAAATAGCCTTGGCTTTCTTTGAAAACCTGCAAGCATTTGTTTTTAGCTAAACCAATCAATTAAAGAAATCATAAAAAAAAAGATACTTTACGGGCAATAGGTTTTGGAGAACACAATTAATTGGTTGTCATGGATATGTTGCAATATTTCCTCCTTCAAACTCTGGGGCTCCCCCTTCTGTAATTGTTCATCCGCCACGACAATCATGCCATCATCACCTACACTCGCTATAAGACCGGATTTACCAAAATAAGAAACAAGCCCCAGCGTCGCCAGAGAAATAAGGATGAGTAAAGTCCATAATCTTAACCGGCGAGGGTTACATTGCCGAGATGAATTCTGTTGGTGTTGACCAGAAGCATATTTCTCTTTGGCTTCAATATCGTCCTGAACAGTAAACGGCAAAGTACTCATTTCTAAAACGAAAAAAAAAATAGTGTAGAAAGGAAAAAGAAAATTATAAAATTTTATTTCTGTGATTGGCTATGATTTAACTCTAATTTTCTTTACGACGCCCAAACCAATACGTTCAGGCTCTTCAATTTCTTTTTTTCCTTGGATTAAATGTAATTCACGAATTCTAGCAATTTTCGCAGGTTCTGGATTTCCAGCCAATAATCTTTGTTGATAGACAAAAGTCTTCTTTGTGATTGCATTAACGGTGCAAATAACACGATAGGCTGCATCAATCAAACAAGGAACTCGATCGACAGCTTTATCCATGGATTCTTGTAACCTAGCAACAACCAATGAAGAGAACAAATCACCAGTTCCGGTGAAATAGCCTTCGAATGTAGGGAACGCAATAATATGTTGATCAATGGTCCCATCTGCCATTACTTGGCTGGTAAAGCAATATAATGATTTTTCACAGGTTGAATCTAAATGCACATCCAAGGGCACAAGCTCAAGTGGGATAGACAATGTGGTAATGACAACATGTGCTGATCCCAATGCATGTAACTTTTTAGCGACCAAACAGGCATCTGTCAATGAACTGATTTTCGTCTCAGTCAAGAGTTCAGCTTCGAATTGATTTGGTGTCACTACATCAGCCAAACGCATAATGTTTCTATACAATGGAATTATCTCCGGTGCTACATACATGGCACCTCCATCACCCATTACCGTATCGCATACTATATACCATGTTACTACAACAAGTAAACAATGACATCATGTCAACATACCATAGATCAATTTGGGATTCTTGGCCTTTAATTTTTCCACCATTGCTTCGATCTTTTCCAAAATTGCGTAATTTCCAATATATCCTAATCTTGCCTTGTTAATTTATTTACCCGGGTCTTATCATCTATTTCAGATCTTACCGGTAAGGACATGACTATAGTCATCAATTAATCCGTTACTTTCTAAACCTTCAAATAAATCTTGTACATTCTCGGCTGTCATCTTATTCCCTGTAAAAGAGGGATAACCTAAAAATAGACTGGATCAGGAAAAGCCCCATTTTTTTTTATTCTTTTGTGGAAAAATCATTGTTATCAAATTACCTGTATGGTTTGAAAACTGAACCGTATTTAATATATCTACATCAAATCCGAGTGTTTGAAGGGGGAATACAGCTGCCTTGTTACCTATACAAGATTATGAACATTTTATGTTTGTTATCTGCATCAGCCATCCATACCACAATAACCAGAGACCTGTTACAATCACGATTAGCACATCAACACTAAATCGAACATCATCCTTCACTTACGGTATGAGACTGAATACTTAATACTCTGTAGTTTGCTTGTTCATCTTGTAATGTATCCATGGCAACAATCTAGATTGGGTCAAGGCTGTAAAAAAAGGGGGGGGGGGAGGGGATGGACTGCGCGCTTGCGAATAAACATATCCCGCAGCATGCTGACATTTAATTGCACACAGTACAAATTGTCACACATTGTTAGCATAAAGATCAGCACTATTGCATTTCTCCATTTGCTCCCTTTTTCCAATGACGTCGGTCAAATGAGCTTTTTTTTTGTATTTTTGTTTTCCTCCGGAAGAATATAAACAAAAGTGGTGCACTTTCCCAAAATAAAAATGATCGATCGACTTTGACTGGGGCATTGTAGAAATGATGTAGTTTTACATGAGTTAGAATTCAGAAAAAGAATGCGACATTACATAATCTGCTGTCAATGGAATGATATTCACATTAGAGAACTAGTACTAATTTATATCCATAATCTAACTGGAATGACAGGTACATGTTACTGATGCTTAAATCTTGTACATCGCATTAGTGTACTATGTATCTAGAAGTTCTATTACTGTTTCTTTTTTGGAAAAATGCATACTTTATCATGATAGATCACATACATCCTTTTTTTTTTAATTCGATTATCACCTTTCTACCGACATTCGAAAATCCCCTAATCATTGAGATTATTTGCATAATTCTAAATGCTGTTCTTAATCTCCATCAAAAAACAAAAAGGGTTTACTATCAGTCTAATCAATCATCACTCTTTTATAAAATTCTTACTCTTCATGATCCAAGGCTGTAGCAGTTTAATTTTAAACGCTATGAAATAAGAAAAAAGAGTGTCGCATGAATACTTAAGTTGATGAAGCGAAGACTGAAAATGTCATACAAGCTCTCCGAGCCGCGCTTTTATTTTTTATTAATCCTCACCCACAGCTTTATTGGCATGAATTATAGGACAGAAAAAAGAATGCAAAGATAAAATTTAAATAATATTACTTGATATTAAAAGAATGGGAGAGGAATGGAGCAGCGGCCTCATCTTCAGAATCGTCATTATTTAATTCTACGGGTTTTCTTTTTCTACTACAACTAATCAAAGCTTCAACATCTTCCATCAACTTTCTTCCAATCAACACTGTTTCCAGCAAAGCGGTAAGATCAATACCGATATTTGAAGCCTGATCTGGGAAGGGAAGTTTTTTTGTTCGAGAGATTCTGGTAATGGTGTTTCCAGAAGGAATGTCCATGATTAAAAGCTCTAGATCAAGACCTAGAAGGAGACAAGGATAAGTACCTTAGAGAACAACCTATATCATAAGCAAATTCTTACCCATCATCAGAAAGCCGACAGTATACAAGCTGTTGACCTTTATAGGGTTAGCGTTAACTAATCTTGAGAGCATATCCCTTAAGGTCTTTGGTAATTTCATCATACCATCATCTAAATACTTGTCGTCTATAGGAAGCACGTCTTCCTTCCCAACTTCACAACATCCTACTTCGTGGCGGCCAGCCTTGAACAAGATGTCAACCTTTACCCCGGTGACCTTTCTTTCCCTTCTACCTAATCCCTCCAAGCCTCTACTTTCATTTCTTCCTAATGAAGAAGCTGTGCTGACTCTTTCGCCTAATTTGGCATCAACATGACTCTCTTTAAAGCACTTAAATACGAACTGCCATATTTTGTTGGAAAGATCGCCTTCAGAAAAGTCGCTTAACTCAATTCTTTCGTCGTCTTCGAATACTTCAGCAACTTCAATGACAGATTTTTGAATCCATCTTTTGGTTTTGCTAGTACCAAACTCAAATTTACTTTCGAAGGCGTGATCATAAAAATCTTTAGCTTTCTTAAATACGTCTTGATCAAATGAGGTTAAGTAGTTTTTTACATCTTCATCAATACTGGGAAGAACTGGCGCTTTGTAATTTTTGATTTCACGAAGTTCTTCTTTGGTAAAGACTTTTTTCCAAATAAGATCCGAAGTATCAACAATGAAAGAAAAAGCAGGATGCTCGTATTGACATTTATCAATGACTAGACAAACTGCATCTTCTACAAATTTTCCACTCGATAGTCTCCATTTGCTATGATCATTTAGTTGACTAATCTTTTCAATTAGTCTAGCTTTTGTTTCAGTGGAAACCAAGGTATTATGCTTGCTATTAATTGAAGATGATTTCTCAGAGCTTTTTGATGACGATGGAGTTATGGCTGAGTAAACAGACGGTGAATCTCTAATCATCTTTAGTTCGCCAGAGATTGATTGCCATACATTTCTATTGCCAGAATCTTTTCTTAATTTATAGTCCAAGTTATCAAGTGCTATCTGGAATTTTCGCTTCCATACCCCCTTAAACGTGTTCAAGTTACCACCTGTGTAGCTGCTGACGATCAGGTCTTTTGCTTGAATGAGGAATTCGTCCCAATTTACACGATTCTCTTCGCTGACAATATTTTGTAGTATTGCTGTTATTACTGAGTAAAGTTTCTAGTTAATGACAAAATCGCGTATGGTAATCAAATGCGTTATGCTTACATTCGATATACTTAACATCTTTATTAGCCATGATAGATTTAATAAGTTTTTAAAACAAGAAAGATTAACAGGAGTAAGCAGACGTAAAAGTATCGAATGGCTCTATAAGATAAAAGGCAAAAAAGACTTTTAAAAAAAATGATTAATAATATCATCAATCTAGTAGTTGTGTAACAAATAATGAGGAAATGTCTAGACCTCCGTATTTTTTTCCAAACGTATTTTTTTTGTACCACTTACAGGAATTCTGGCCAGAAGACCAGCAGACCAGTATGATTGCACCTATTTACAGTCCAATCCCAGCTATTCACGGTTCGTGAGTTCCAAAAACTCAAGAACTCTGCCTTGGAGGTCGCCCTCCTATTGCAAAGACTAGCCGCAGCCGCAATATCACAATTATATATCTTTTTCGATTTAGCTTCTTTTCAAAGAAACAAGAGTCACTACTAAACTAACCTTTTTATTTGATCGGTTACTTTCATACGATAAAAGAAGTATGTTAAGGAAAAAGAAAAGGAGAAGAACAAAGTGTGTGAACCAGCTTTATTTATTGATAAACAAGCTTATGTCAGGATGATTTTATTTGTCTATTTTATCATCCATAATATTTGAGCCTTTACTTAAAATAGAAACAGTTGCAAAAACCTACCAAGCAAGTCAGAGCTTGGTAATTGTCTATCTGCATTCCAGTAGTAGCTTGTAATGGCAGTAAAGCAGATTTTATGGAAAACAGAAAACGATCATCCAATGAAGTTTAGATGATATGGCATGTCAATCGACGTGTAGACCATCACGTTTGAAAAAATACGTTTGAAAAAATACGTTTGAAAAAATACGTTTGAAAAAATACGTTTGAAAAAATACGTTTGAAAAAATACGTTTGAAAAAAATACGGAGTTCTAGACATTTCCAAATAATGAATGTAAATATAAAACTTTTTTTTATTAAGGAGGCAGTGGAAGAATCGAGAAACATCACAGCAGTCTAAGGTAGTTTGTATTTGCACTTGGCAATAAACGATCTAATATATTTTGCCACGGCAGAGCCTCTACAAATATAACCCGTTTTTTTTTATAAAAGAAAGTAAGAACAAGTCTGATTTAAAAATAATGATTAAGAGAAAATGCTTATAACAAATACACAAGTAATAAGCTTTTTTTTATTTCAATAAAATATAAATTACATAAACTGTAAGTCTCTCTTAGTTTCAAAGCAACAAGCTTTTACTTACGGGAATAACCACGAGAAGGTGAAGACTATCTATTCCCAACCCCCAGATCCCAAGTTGTCTCCCCCAGATCCCATGTCGTGTTGTCTTTTCAGCGAACAGACCCGGACTTCAAAGAGCCTCCGCAGCAAGCCCCCGAAAATGAAGCACTGTAAAAGTGGAAATGAATGCTTTAAATGCAAAAAGAACTAGCCTCCCACAAATATAGCCCCCCAGAACCTAAGACAACCACTTTCCATCGTCAAGCGAACAGACCCGAGAAGCCCAGTAAAGACAACGTCTGCAGAAAGCCCCGAGACGACTAAAGTACCACAACACGATCATGAACCCACCTACCGGCGAACAGACCCGGACTTCAAAGAGCCACCGCAGAAAGCCCACCGACGAATGACCAACTTGAGACAACGCAAGCTGTTCACGGAAGGTTTAATCTAACAAAAAAATTGTACATTGAAGTAGAAAAAAAGAATTAAGTGAAAAAGGGTGGTGAGAAAAAATGTTGTCGTAATTTTACGGGTATTTGTTTAAACGAAAATCGAACGGAAAACCAGTCACTCAGACATGTATCTCACAAATGCATGAATTTAATGCAAAGTGAATTTGTCTGAATGTTTATTGATTATAATATACATTTTAAAAGAAAAGAAAGAAAGAAATAAGCTGTGCCATAATATATTTTAATAATTTGCTGGTATATGTTCATGTCAGATGTGGTTATTTGAATTTGCTTGTCGAGATTGTCAATACAAACAAGGAAATTACTGCTGATCGTTAGTCAGATATTTTTGTACATAAGCAGAGTAGAGGTGTTCTATCATCTTAGATCCATTCACTTTATGGCTCATTATACACTCGGATTGACAGGGGGTTTTCATTGCTTTTGGTACAAAGCGCAAGCGCTATTAATACGCGTAATCGATCCTTGGCATTTCTTAACTCAACCCGATGATTGTTAACATAATCGCCATCCTTCAAAGCAATTTTTTTATTTTTGTTGGGAAAATAAGAGTTGACAGTCTTCATTGCCCACCTAATGTTGGATTCGACATCGACAAACTTTGTGCATCTTCCGAGAAAAGTACAGAGGAAGTCTCAGCAACGTTGTTGAAAGGGAATTGTGTTTTAAAATACGTTACTTTTGACATGTTTGTTAAAGGTAAAAAAGGGGCCTAAAATCGGTGAAGTCATCTAGTGGCTTAATCAAATCCGGTTAAACTAGTTCTCGGAATTTGTTCGTTTTGCCGTCACCAAATACTACTGACATCATTTGTAATATTAGAAATATAGTGGTGCATAGGGTCAGAATTCTTTTACTGGCATGATGTTCCTTGATTTGTCATTGAGCCTCCCCCAGCATGCAAGTACATAATTATGCTATGTATTAGACTTACTAGTACACGAAATATCCAACTTTTGAAAAAGTTAGATCGACGGTCTTGTCTCAAAAATTAGACAAATCTTTTTTTTTTTTTTTTTTCGAATTTTTGGACAGTTACTGTAAAGGCACAAAAGATGGTTTTGACAAATAGTTAAAATGGATAATTATACAGCTTAAAATATTTATGCGACCTGCTAATAGTCCCTTCTCATTATTTAATTCAGTCATCACATTTTCTACCAAAAATTCATCTTCTGTCAATGACTTTTGAATGGGTTCTTTTAATTTTGTCGGCTGCAAAGAAGCAGCAGTGGATTCCGAAAATCTTCGTGCATTGTCATAGTTATAATTTTCTGGGAAAAATGGTTCATTTTCATCATCATCTTCATCGAAATTCTGGTTATTTGTTCTGCTTTTTGTATTGCAGTTGGATGTATTCTCTTCAATTTCGTCTTCGTCATCATGAACATTGCCTGATCTTCTCCGATCTCTTTCAAGAATTTCTAATTCAAAATCATCTGATATAATGCAACATTAGAAGTTTAATTAAATTTTGTGCAGACACTATTTTAATTAAATTTTACCAAGCTCTTCATCCGCTGTATTAGAGGCTAAAATTCAGGGCCATTCGTAAAATGTTGATTGAGTGACAGATTTACATAAAAATATCCTTCTCTAACACCTCTGCTAATTTGTACGGGGCCTGTGTCTGGATGAACCATATCTTTCAAAGTCTCTGTAACCAATGGAATACATGGCAGTATTCTTAGTGCAATAACTGCCAAATAAAATTTCTCTTCTAAAGCCCTTCCTAAAAACCCAGAGACCGTTGGTTGCTGGTCCATATTGCCTGTTGCAACCATGAGAATGGGATCCTTTTTTTCCTTTAAATATTTGATATCCCATGAAGAATTATAAGCTTTGAAAGAGTCCTCTATTACATTTTTTGGTCCGATCACCTTTACACTGTAACGTCTTTTTAGATACGTAGGCGGAAAAAAACTTGGTCAGTTTTAAACCAAGTTTATAATGTTTAATTAAACACCCAAAGTTTTATACATTACCCAAAGTATGCTTCATAAAGCAAAAAATAAACGTCCCCCTTCTCTTCATCCACTCGCAATGTATGGGGGAACAGGAGCCCTACAAACGTGGAAACAATGGATTGCATATTTTAAAAATTATATTGTAGCTGTTTTTATCCTTTGTCAATACATGTGTGTTATATAATACGTAAAGGTCTATGGTCAATTGCATTGTATTACATGCGTGTTTATTGTGTAAGGTTTTTATTGAGCTTCCGTAAACGTGCGTTTAGAACTAAATTTTTATTGTCATCACCAGATACTTCCAACATCTTTCATGATACCGGATACAAACAATTTAATTCTGTAAGTCCACAACTTTGTCATCATCACATGTTTTTTTTTTTTTTGAAAATCCAAATTTTTCAAAAATGACTGCCAACTATTTGCGTAAAATAAAAGTATGATAGATTGATAATGATATCAGGTTTTTTATTGTCATAATAAAAATGAGTTTAGGGTCCATAAAAGAAATGTCAGGCAACTTTTTTTTTCTTCGACACCACCTCTGCTGTACGTATAGAAAGTTTTCACCATTCTGTGTTATCCTGCTTTCATTAGAATTATATATAAACCAATACCGAAGTCGATTTTTTTTTGGCAACATAATTGTGCTATAACAGTGACACGGTACTGTTGTAATACATATGTGTAGCACATACATTGAATGCATTTGTGTAATGTTTATTGTATTATAGGCTATTTGAGACTTTGTTATACCTTATTTTTAACGAGTACTATTTAAATCGGGAACAGAATAAACCCTGTATATTAATTGAGAGATGTTGTTTGAAATACTTTCTTATTTCACTTCCCTTCAATTTTCGAAATTCATTACTAGTAATCTATAAACGAAACAAAGCAAAATGCCAGCCATGAGCCTGAATCTCGGTGTAAACGTTTGCGTTCCTGTTTCTGCCCACTTTTTAAGGAAGACAAGAGCTGTAGAACTCCTTCGGGGACGTTTTGACTTCAATGCTCCTCGTCTTAGGCTTAATGGTATTACCACTGCAAAGAGTACAGACGCTAAGAATAAGATTCTCTGTAATGTAGTTTTTGATGAGCTACCAGACACTACCTTCGTACTTTATGGAACCTCTTTGAAGCATGAGGGTCCCATAGTTAGACAAGAGACCATTGATAACCATTCCAATACTGCTACGACGGTCAGCAACAACAATACCCCAGAGGAAGACGGTAATCTGGAAGACGCTGAACCCAGAAATGAGGAAGAGGAAGAGGAAGAGATTCCAGTGTGCGATGAGGTCTAGGATACGAGAGAAGTGTATACCGATGCATGTTTAGTTTCTGGAAACAATTATCGTTCCATGAAATCAAAGTTTAACTTGCAAAACAAGGCTACTGCTTCTCCCGCCGAATACTTCTTGTATTTTCTACCAATGGATCACATAAGAGAAATAGTTGTCCCAAACATAAAAAATCATGCGCATAGTGTTAACAACCGTTGGGTAAATCTCACCTTCTTGGAATATTTAACGTGGATGGCGATTTTGATGAATATAACGGTTCTTAAACATGTGGACAAGAGGGCGTACTAATGGATGGGAAACAGTTATTTGAGGCCCAATATCAACTTTGGAGAATTTATGGAGTATGATCGTTTTGTATCGGTACTTCAGTATCATGTTTTCGAGGTACCCTGTGGTAACAGCTTAGCTTCAGATTCTTTGTACCAGATCAGAATATATTTACAGAAATTCAATGAGGTACTGGCAAGAGCACTTGAGCCTGGAAGATATCTGTGTGTTGATGAAAGTATGAATCAATGGCTCGGTGAAGGAATGCCCAATCTTAAAAAGATACCAAGAAAACCTCACCCAATTGGGCAGGAATGTAAAACACTTGCGGATCATGACACGTTCTGTATCATTCAGCTTGATACTGTCAGCGATCCTGTAAAGAAGAAGTACGATGACACAGATCGCAATCTAATTGCAACATTAAAGCGGTTGACAGAACCTTGGTTCTTTTCCTGAAGAACAGTAATTGGTGACTCTTGGTTTGGGTCTCCGGAGATGACATCTGTCTTGTTAGATCATGGACCTTTTTCAATCATGCAAGTCGTCAAGAAAAAGTACTGGCCTCGTGGGATGCCAAGTAACGATGTTATCCGTTTTCTTGGGGCTGAACGTGGTAGTCAATATACTGCTGTCAAACAAGATGAGCACGGCCGCCCAATTCTTGTATGCTCCTACAGAGACCTCAAGCCAAAGACGATTGTGTCATCTTGTAGTACGTTCGTCCCTTCAACCAAGATCAGAATTTACATTGACAGATCTGGTCAGCAACGCGAGCTTCGTCGCCTCTAGGTCTTTGATGATTACGAAGACCACAAAAGTAACATCCTCATGCATAAATTCAATAGCTACAATAACATTTTTATTTCCTTTAGGTAGCGTCGATACTAACAATAACAGACGGGATAATATGATATCATTTCATGACATTATGAAGACTTACAGATGGGAAAACCGTTTTTTGGCCTTTACTTTTGGCATTGCTGAGGCTGGCTAATGCCTTCAGTTGTTTCAAGATATGGGGATCCAATTCAGGAAATGATCTTCTTCATTCTGATTTTAAAAGTAGACTCGTTTTTTCTTTGCTAAAAAAGGTAAAAAGTATGAGCGGCGCTGCTTCTGAGATACCAATGGAGTCTATGACAACAAGAAAGCGTGATTCTACCAGTGCTCATGAATACATTAGCCTTTCTTTTAACGGGAAACGCATTAGACAGGTTTATAAGAGTTGTGCTGGGTTGGGTTTAAAGAACCCTCCTAGAGTGGAATTCAGATGTGCGTGTGACACGAAGGCCATATGCAAAAAATGCCATCATGAGCACTTTGGAGAAGAATATAGAAAAAGAAGTCAAATCTGAATATTTTTTAAAGTATTCTATTCCTACATATATTATTAGCCTGTTACAATAAAAATTAAAAATCTTTGATATGATGCTTATATGAACAGTCCATTTGGGACGACCCATTGATTTAGAAAACCGACAATCTTCATCTAGTGGCAATGTAAACTAGATAGTACATCGAATATCCCAAAAAAGTTATAAACATGAAAATAATGTATCAAAAAAGCTAACATCCAAAAAATACCATACTTTATTTATTATTTGATGTATTAAAATTCATTTTTGTAATCAGCCCATTTGGGCCGATTTGGGAGAATAGTACTTGTTAATCAAAAAAAGTGTCTGAACGGGTTTTATTTATGGACTGATGAACAAGAGCTGGTTTATGTCACGATGATTTAATTGATAATATAATCACTTTAAATGATTCAGCCTTTACTTATATTGAAAATTTGTGAAAAAAGCTCCAGACTTACGGAGGGATAATTTTGATATGGTGCGTGAATAGACGTAAAAGTAAATGGCTGATTTCATCTTGAGATAAACAAGATGATACTTCTTTTCATGTGGGGCATCCTTTTCAAAGTATGAACAATGCCCCCCTCCTATAATTACTCTCCGTCTTAGTCCCACGCTGTTCATAGCTTCTTCTTGATTCGAATTTGAAGATCTCCAACTGTCAGTGACAGATATTGTGCACTGAAAATCTATGGTGCTTTGTATAAGTGTGTTACAAATGATGCGTTTTAGCAGTCCATCCGTTTGTGATTGGTTGAAATATCATATATTAAAAAACTGAGACAGAGAAAAAAAAAAAGCACACACTTCTTAAACACACAATTACAATGAATACACCATTTACTGGTAGAGGAAAAGCATGGGTTGGAGCTAATCCCAGTCGACAGTTGGACGGACTTTCGCAGCCTCTGACACGTAATTTACAAGACATGGATCAAAAAGAACTTTTGGCACTTCATGAAAAGACAAGTGCCATGTTGAATAATCCGTAAGTTTTTTCTTTCTTTCTTACTTATCAAGGTATATGTAAATCTGACGGTTTGAATAGTACACTTCATTTACCCGACGGTGGAGCCAAGTTAAGGGCTAAAATCGAACAAATTAATGCGATTTTAAACAATGAGAACACGGCGACCAACAGTATTACAAATAAGGTATCAGGTTTATCATTAAATGAAAAGTTGGATATCCGTAAAGAGACCATTGTTAGATCAAATCAAGTGCAAGACGTTCATGCGCACAACTTATTGCGAGCACACGATGCCGATGAACAACATGTAGGTTTCAATTCCTTATTGAAAAATGCCCATTATGTATGTGAACTTTACTCATCCAATCTGTGTAGGCCAGAACAGCACGTATGATGAGTCTCGAGGAATCCATGAAATTACAGGAAATGCAACAAAATGATATCAAATTGGCCAACATGAACAAGCGTATGGAATCAGTGAGAGGAAGTGTACCAAGTAAAAGCTTAGCGGATGATTTAAGTCTGACTATGGGTGGTTTACAGTTGGATCCAGAAACACGTATTCCTCGTCCAGATGATGACGGTCCCAGTGATGATGAGGGAGATGATATGGATTCAGACGATTCAGCTGATTTCGAAGGTCAAAACTATCAAAGATTCGAAGATGAAGGATTCGAAGAAGATGATGAAGAGTTTGATGATGGACAATTGCATAACAACAATAATCGCAGAGTATAAAACCTGTCATAGTGGAGTATGAATTTTTTTTTTTTTTTTTTTTTTTTGGGTGGAAATACCGCTGGATCCCATCTAAAAGGCAGAAAAAATAAAAATCTACATATCTCCTCCGCCTTTTCTCTTTTTTCCCTTTTTTAACAAACTTTCATTTTATTATACGTCGAAAACATGAAGTTGGCGTCTTTGTTCAAAGACAAGGGCGACCTGTGGAAGAAAATATTTAAATGTGCCGTTGCGTATGAGATTGCCACCATTCTCATTCTCATTCCTTCAGTTCTTAAGGTAGCCGGCTCACCACCATACCTTGTACCACTCGGCACTATTTTTTTCAACGCAAGTGGTACGGCAGGTAACCAAATTATTGGTATGTTACTGAACACCTTGATGATGTTGTTACCTGCTATCTGGTGCGGCATCGTATCCTTTTTATGCGCAGTCTACAACAGATCAAGAGAAACAAACCCTGCTCTCTATAGCAACGGTGCTGGTGCCATTGCTTCTATCGGATTTTCGATCTGTGTGCTAACAGTTGCTTATGTCCGTTTAAAATACCCTCGACTTTATATACCTGCTTTACAGGGCTTCACTATACCGTTTTTCGCATTGACCAAAGGGATCTATGGAACTCACTTTGATATAATGATAATTCTAGGTAGTTTCTATCCTGTACTTTGGGGTGGTTTAATTGCGTTAATGTGTAATTTACTGTTTTGGCCAGAAACGGCAGCGAAAACAGCAGAGTAATACCAGTTATATATTAATTCCAAGTCAGTAACCTGATCTAATATTTTCCTTGTTTCACAGACAAGCCTTTGGTAGTTCAATTGAATCTATGAAAGACGTGCTGTCATTTGTACATGAAGAGCTTTTAAAGAATGATAATTCAGGCGTCATTACAAACGATGTAACAGCCAGTACCAAACTTCAGACACTCACCAACAAACTACAAAAGGATATTGGCAACATGAAATCAGCACGCAAAGAAGCGAAATACGAACTCATTGTGTCTTATTATACACCAAAGAGTTATAAGCCATTACTGCATTCAATCTCATCGCTGGCTGAAAATCTGTTTGGGTTTTCATTGGCTATCAAAAGAGAAGTACGCATCATGCTTGAAAAAAGGTTAAGGCACATTTAGATAAATTAAAGAACCAGCAGATGGATACTGTGATTACAGCCAGTGGGAGACAGACCATGTCTCCTTTACTAACAGAGGTTCAGTCAAGTATATTATCGGGTGACACCTTGTTAGGCGGAAGGGAATACAAGAATATCGATCGTCTACAATCCTCCATCCAACCTTCTTTAAAACGATTTATATCGACATGTATACTTACATTGGACCAGATCGAAAAAGATTTGATTGCACATAAAGCCATTTCAATCAAACACGATAAAGGAAGCAAGACACACAGTATATCCAAAATCAATCTTGTTTCTGCTCTGGAAGAATTTAAGGAGACTGAAACCACATTTCAAGATGAATATGATAGAGCCGGACATTTGCCGTCAGAAGAGCATTTTTTAATATTTACCGTAATCTTTACCATGGTTCAATTCGGTCAAGAGTTAATTCGTTTACAGACTCATGCCGAAGAATTGATCAAATGCAGTACGGAAGGAGAGAGTTGGATAAAACGTATTCATCTACCTCGGGTAGAGTTTAAAAATTGGTTGAGTAAGACTTCCTATCAAAATGAAGGACAAGCACTCTCTGAAAATGTGTTTTTGGATTCCCGAAAGCTGGAGATAATGAAAACGAGAACCATGCAAACCAGTGCTGCTCCGGTGGAAGAGAAAGCGGAGGAAGACGACGATGAGAGTTTTAACCGAGAAAGGAGAAGAGTGTCAGAATTAGTGACAAGGATCGAGTCAAGAACAAATGAAAGTATTGTTGACCAAAATATCATGCAAGAGGAACATGAAAAATTAGACAAAGAAGAGTATGAAGAGCAGGAATCCGTACCATTACATCAAACCCCCGGTAAGCATATCTGGAACCGAAAATTGTATTCACTCAACAAATGGTTTCAATACGCCCCTACACGCTATGCCATCAAATTCACAATCACAATGCAACTATTGGCCCTCATGGCATTTCTTCCCTTTCATGGTATCAGTGATATTTACAGTAATAATCATGGTCAATGGGCTCTTTTGTCTGCTATGGTGGTGATCAACTATACAGTCGGATCCACAACGATACAGTGTTTTTACAGAATCATCTCAACCATTATAGGCGCTGTTTGTGGTTACTTGTGTTTATTAGCAGCCAATCGTCGAGAGAATCCATACGTGATTGGTGTCTTGGTCTTAGTCTTTCAGGTGCCTATGTGGTATTTACTTTTAGGTTCAAAGTTTCCCAGAATAGGATTTATTTCTCTTTTAACGATGAGTGTGATCGTGTCCACCGGATACATATCGCCAGCAGACGAGTCCATCTTTTATCCTGTATGGATACGTACTGTGACAGCCATCTTGGCAACTATTGTGGTCATGTTGGTAGATCAGTTGATCTGGCCTGTATGGGCAAGAAAACGACTTCGCACCGATTTAGCTGATTTGTTGATCACAACAGGTATTCAGTATGCTCGTGTGGTTTCTTTAATGTGCCAAGAAAGCACCAAAACGTATCGCTACCAGATGACATTCGAAGAGAGTAAAATTCACCAAAAGAAATTGAATCGTCAGCTAAATGTTGTTCAAGAAATGTGGGTATTGGCCAAGGATGAACCTAGATTAACCAAGGGCCCATTTCCTATCAAGGAGTACCAAGATATTCTAGAACACGAAAGAAATATATTGCACTGGATTCAACATATACTGGCAACTCAGGCAATGATTTCCGAAAGAATTCGAAAGACTATCATGACGCCCATGAATGCGTATCGAAAAGAAATGTCGGGCGCAGTGCATTTGTATTTGTTTACATTGGCTTGCTCACTGCGTACCAAATCATCATTACCTGCCACTTTACCGTCAGCTGAGTTAGCAAGACGTATGCTGCAAACTAAACAAACAGCGCTATGGAAACAAAATCATGATGAATTATTAAAGCAGTCAGCTAGGGCAATTGCTGATCAACAGCACGCTGAACATCAGTTGTTTTGGCATACTTATGCAGCTGGATGTACGGAAGTGGTTGTTGAACAAGAATCGATGGGTGAATTGGTTGCTCGACTGATGGGACAATGTAAAGGTGGTATCAGAGATTGGCAATAAGCTTTTTTTTTATTATTATTATTTAGAGGAAAATAAATCCTTTATATGTACACAGTGTTTCCTCTTTATATATTATATTTTTTTTTTTTTCTTTTATTTTATTTTTTTTCGCTTAGTTTTACCAATCCAACCATGTTTTAAAGTACTCGCAGTTGACGGGAGAAATTGGACCATCTTCCACACAAAATGTAAAGACGGGACATTTACCACAAGGAGTTTCTGTTAATGCTTCTGTTGGTAAACGACTAGCAACTTTTCGAATAGCTTTATAGGACCATGAAACAGATGCATCCTCATCATCCTCATCGTCACTGAAATCCTCCATACCAGCCATAAACGGTAACTTTTTCTCCACAACACCATCATATACTAACACATCCAATAAACTGGTGATATCCTTGACTGATAAATCGATGGATGAAATACGAGATTCTGTAATAAAACGTCTGACTTCTGTAGCTGTAGGATAAAGTTCGTGATCTGCACTAAAAACAGCATCTGTCACACCTTCAACGCGAGGAAAACTCTAGAATTGAGATATGAAAAATGAATAAAGAGAGAGAGAGAAAGAGGGAGAGAGAACTAAAAAGAACACTTACTCTGGCAGTAATGTATTTTAAACAGGCAGCTTTCAAACTGTCAATGAAATCGGTATCCAATTCTTGATCTGTATACCAAGCACCACCTGTCACTTCGCTGGAAGGGGATAAATCATAGAGCATATAAATTTTACGTGTGGGATATTTGACATGTTTGACAGCTTTAATTTCTTGCTTTTGTTCCAATGATTTTAAGGTACGGTTCAAAACAATCGTGTGAAGGTTGGTCTTTTTTTTTAAGTCTTTGGTCCAAATACCGTTATTGGAAGCGGCACGAATGGTGTTATACACAAGACGGGCATCATCATTTAATTTACTGGCTCTATTTTACGTAAAGATAGAGTGTTAACCGAAGGAAGTTCCTATCCAGCAAAAATAAAAGCAACAATCTCTTTTCACTTGTGCTTACTTTTCGGCATCTCTTAAATCGATCGCTTTCAGCATATTCTCGCCATTCATTGCAATAACTTCCAAGGTATTCTAGACAACTGTGCGTGTTAACTTCCATGACAAAGCAGTTAGTGTATTTTTATTTTACCTTTTTCAACAGAGCATTCATTGCTAAATAAGATTCTTGCACATCCATATCGTCAGGGCGATCAGTGAATTTGACACCCTACCCATAAAAAAAAAACTGTCAGCTCCAATGTAAAATCACTTTGTTTCTTTTTTTCATACCTTGGGTGAAGCTCGAACAAATTGATAAAACTTCCATTCGGCAGCAGACAAACCAAAAGGGTTGTCTCCACCTTCCTTATTCGCATCGGTCATATCCGTGTCCATGGTTTATTAAATGGCGTAATGTAAGTTCTAAAAAAAAAATATCTCTCTCTCTTATAAGAAAGGGTGCCTTTGAAGAAAAAAAAAAAAACTTACATTTTAAAAAGTCACATTTCCCTTTCAGCTGGATTTGAGGTAACATTTGTTCTATTGCCTAGCAGTTTGGGCGGTCATTTTTGTACATGTATTCTTCAGGTACTCCTGCCATGGCATTTTTGCTGCCTAGCTCTGGTACAGTTTCCCACCTTAATCGAGCTCTTGCAAGTTAATTATTCAAGTTACATGGTAATGAAGGCTAATAGATATTCGTGCACATAGCAAGACCATATTGTTGCATAATTCAATAATACTAGTTCGTGTGTGTATTCAATTATAGCTTTTGAGAAGAATAGATGTATTATTATAGAGATACTTATTGCTATTTAAAACCAATTATTATAATGCATGATTTGGTTAGTGTTGAACATGACATTAGAGTTTTATTACGTAAGCCGAGAAAGACAGAGAGAGAGAGAAGGGGTACCCTAACTTGGGTTTAAATTTCAGCTTTTTTTTTGGTTGTTTTTTTTTCTCTCTTATGATGCCATGACAAGAACATTGAAACTTGGTGTTGCAGCTACGTCCGCTTTGGGAGCTACCTATTGGTATTACAAGCCTACTGTAGTACCTGCAACCCCATACATTCCACCGCCGTTTGTCTGGGACAGCATACCTAAACCCGTCCTTCAGCATTTAGAAGGCCATGACAATGCCTTATGGAAAGTGGGTACGACCATGGTAGTAGGTGTTGCAGGCATGTTGGCCAAAGGGTTTATGAAGGCAAGTGATACCCGTGTGTATGGACTTGATAAATTTATGGCGATTGTGGAAGATCCTAAACGCACACAAGGATTAATCACAGGTAATAAAACAATATATGCAAAATTAAAGAGTATTACCTAAGTATATGAAAAAGTGTCAAATCATGAATCTGTGTTGGACGATCCATTTTTATGGGGAGCGATGCCTTTGTCCATCTTTTTCAAGGTAGAAAAGATGCGATGGGTATTGGGAGCAGCCGATATTTGTTATACCACTGTGTAAGTTGACCGAAAGAAGGGAAAATCAATCAAAAAATAACTCAATGAGAGGGACGTTTTACAGGTTTAAATCCTATTTTTTCGCTTGTGGGAAAACATTGCCAGCGATCCGTGGTGGTGGTGTGTATCAGCCTGGTGTTGATTTAGCGATATCGACCCTGAATCGAGGAGGCTGGGTACACATCTATCCTGAGGCCAAAGTATCACAGCACGGAAAGATGATTCGGTTTAAGTGGGGAATAGGTCGCATACTGATGGACATGGAGAAGGAAGCAATTGTGGTGCCTGTGTGGCATGAAGGCATGCATTTGGCCAAACCACTGTATGAAACCAAACTGGTTCATTTAGGACAGCCCATCACGCTGGTGTTTGGTGATCCTATCGCTTATTCGGATATTCTTGTGCAATGGAAAAATGGCTGCTTGTCGGAAAGGGAAGCTAGAATTCAAATTACCCAACGAATTTACGATGCATTAGAACATTTAGAATCACAGTACAAAAGTAACACAAACCCTAAATAAATAAATAAACCCGGCCCCCACCTATTTTTTTTTTTAGCTTTTTTTTTTAAACTATTTTCTTTCTTCTTCTGTTTATACAACACAAATGCTTAAAAACTCATCTTGGAGTAAAGTAAAAAAAGACGTACAAACAAGGAAAGAGTATTAACTAGGAGTGTTTCTAGAGCTTGACGAAACGAACTTGGCTAACTTTGGTTCTGACCTTGAAAGAGAACACCGTAAAGAGGAAGGCGCCCTTGAGACTGCCTGGAATTATGACGATTCGCCTATCGGTCACCAAGTGTAACTAGGCCTAACTTCTTTCTCCATGTTTATTATTCTTATATTAATTATTTATTCTCATTTGTTATTAGTGGCATGTGGATTTGGCGTGTGCAAGATTTCAATTTAACTACTGTTCCTACTAACCAATATGGCCACTTCTATCAAGGTAAGATTTTTTTGTGTGTGTGTGGTGCCAAGTAGTAACACAGACATTTGATAGGTGATAGTTATATCGTTTTAAAGGTAAATAAAATATATAAGGAATTGAAAGCGGCTACTGAAAAAAGTGAAATAAATATAGACTACACAAAAGGAAAATTCAGATGGCTTAATCCACAATATTCATTTCTGGCTTGGTTTAGAGACTAGCCAAGATGAGGCTGGTACAGCTGCTTACAAGACGGTTGAACTTGATGACTGTAAGGTTTTCAAAATGATTTGAAAGGCAGAAAAAAAAACAGATACTAAAATAGTGAAAGGGTAGTTTTGGATGGTTATGCAGTTCAACACCGAGAAATTCAAAAGAGCGAAAGTCAACTGTTCAAGACCTATTTCAAGACGCTCACATATTTGAAAGGAGGATTTGCCAGCGGATTTAACCACGTGGAAGAAGAAGAGGTTGTGGTACGTTTATTGCGTGTGCATAAACCCAAACAGTTGGAAGGATCTCGTACACGTAACGCAGTGGTGATTTCGGAAGTAGACAAGGATTACACCAGCCTTCATTCGGGCGCAGTGTTTGTGTTAGACACAGGCGATATTATCTACCAATGGCAGGGACAAGACGCCAACGGTATTGAAAGAGCCAAAGCAGCTGAATTTATCAGTCAATTAATCTCTGAGCGTAATGGTGCCGGAGAAATGGTGATTGTAGAGCAAAACTCCGGATCAGGTGAACGGGACTTTTTTGAAGCTTTAGGCTCTGATGGACCTATTTCAGATGAAACTGAAGAAGAAGAAGAAGAAGAACAAGTGACGAGCAAAAAGTTATTACGCCTCAGCAGTTCTGGACCATTCGGTCTGGGTCACTTGAAATTTGAAGTGGTGGCTGAAGAAGTCATCTCTAAGGATATGTTTGATACACACCACGTCTTTGTTTTTGATGTTGGCCATCAGGTCTATACTTGGATTGGCCGTAAAGCTAGTCGTAAAGAACGTAAATATGGTCTTCAATACGCTCAGGATTATGTTAAGGGATGTTCGGATCGTTCTGCTTTTACTCCCATTTGTCAGGTGATTGAAGGTGGAGAAGATGAGTTATTTGAATCTAGTTTGGAGGGTTGGCAGGGTTGGTAAATTAGGGTTCTGTTGTATTTGAACACTTGACAGTCAAAATAATAATAATAAAAAAATAAAAAAATAAAGAACTGCTGATGTGCACTATATTTGTTCATTCCGGGTACATGTTATTTGTTTATTTTTTTTATTATTTTATATATAGGGAAAAGGGGGAAAGATTATCACCAACCGTGAAATGATTCTCTCCACTCTGTGGTATGATGATTGGTATTTTTCTGATGAGTGTCGTCCAGTAGAATCGAACTCTGTGTGGTTGAACTATTGTTGCTTGTGAATGAGCAAGATGAATTTGAGAGTAAAGAAGGAGCTCTCTGCAGTAAATCGGATAATAAAGATCTACGTGGAGTAGCTGGTCTAGGTTGTGTTTTTGTAAAGTCCTTGACGAAATGATAATTCACATCATCCTGATACAGATCTTCATCATCGTCATCCTCATAAATATCCTCATCTGATAAATAGTAGTCATCATCATCCTCTTCATCTAAAGCATCTGTTTTGCAAAAGGAGGAGGAACGCGATAGAGAAGTGCTCGCGTGATGATGGATCGTGGACGGGTAGCATTTTTGGGTTTGTGGAACCTCGTGTGAATATGCGTCATGAGTAGTGGCAGCAGCTGACAAGAGGAGAGTGGATTTGTTGTCAACTTCTTTATGCTTATTCTGAAGGTGCCATTGCCTCCACGACATGTATTCTAACCTTTTTGTTCTATAGGGTTTACATTTATAAACTATTTTTTTTAATTTACAATTACAAAAACTTTTTTTTTTAATTTTTATTAAACATTTTATTTATTATTATCCCCCCTCCTCCTCCCCCCATATTCACCCATTGTTTGCTTACCAGTCCACATGCTGCCTAATTCATTGGAATCTAAACTGCTGCATGACAACGATAACGACGGCTCATGAATAGCACTGGAGGCTGTAAAAGACATTTTAGAATTAAAAACAAGAAAGAAAGAGAGAGAAAAAAAAATAACAAAAATCCATTCTCTCTCTTTATATTATTCAATCTGCTGATACCATTTATATATTACGCGCGTGACCTCCCCCTCTTTGGAACCGCACCCCTCCCCTCCCCCCCAGAGTTTATTTTTAAATTTCTCCCTTCTGTCTTTTGCTTGTCACGACACGTGAGACATTTTATTTTTCTTCTTGGCTGCAATAATAAAAAAAAAAAAAGCTATTTAAAAAAAAAAAAGAGTTGTTAAGAAAAAAAAAAAAAAAAAAAAAAAGGGTAGCATTTTTTAATTCATATGATTTCGATATGAGTCAGCAGCAGTAAGTGGATCCTCTGGCATAGGACCAGTGTATTTTCTTGAATTATTATTATTATTATACATTTGTTGTTGTTGTTGTTGTTGTTGAAGTTGTAATTGGATAGGTGCAGGTCTATACTGTTGTTGCTGTGGCTGCTATCAAAAAAAGAGAAGTGATTAATTAAAAAAAGATATAAAAATCATACATCTCAAAAGAATAGATACCTGTTGATAACCAGCTGTTGGAACTCGTGAATAAATATCACTTGTTGATTGTGACCCCGACATATCATAAGAGGAGTAATCGGCAGATTGTTGTTGTTGTTGTTGAGGGGTTTGTTGTTGTTGTTCTCCATAAAACGAATTTCGAGTCCTTAATGGTTGTTGCGGCGTATAGTTTCGGTTATAGTAATCAGCAGGGGCTGTACTCGATGTTGTAGGTGTCAATTTATAATACTGCGTTGCACTTGGTTGTGGCAATGCACTATTATTATTAGTATTGCTATTATTAAAATCTTGCACTTGCGGAGTCAAGGTAATGCCTGACAATCTACTACAAGGTGTACTGATGGGTGTGTTCGACTGAGAATACATTTGCTGATATGTGCTCGTATTAACCGTAGAAGGTGTATTGTAAGGATAGGCTTGCTCGTTGGGTCGGTGTGCATAGCTATCATACGATGTAGGAGCTGGCTTTGCATGATAATAATCGGAATTAGAAGAAGGTTGTTCATACATGGGTGTCACCGTTTGTGGTGCTTGCGTAGTCGTAGTCGTGGTTACGGGTGGGACGCTGACATTTGCCTGTACTTGTTGTTGTTGTTGCTGCTGCTGTTGTTGTTGTTGTTGTTGCTGAGCATTTCTCCAAACGGGTTGTAAAGGTATACGTAAAGGCACACGCGTTAATGGTCTATTTAATGGTTGAGTAGGGAAATGAGGTAATTGTGCTTTGGATAACATGAGTAGGAATTGATATTGTTGTTGTTGCTGTTGTTGCTGTTGTTGAATATTCGGCAAGACAATGCCCTTAAATGATTCCTCTAATAATTGTTGTTGATGTTCTTGTTTTTGTGCTTCATCTGCATTCAAAAGTTGATTTCGAAACAATAGAATAGCGGCTTTCCAACGTTCATACTCATCATTTCGGATAAACAGTTTAAAACGCAAGACATCTAAAAATTCTAATTCCATAATGTTCAAATCCGTGACTTTCATACCAGATACTTCTGACCATGTCTTGTTTGTAAACGTATTATCGTCCAAGAATTTATTGGCTGATATTCAATAAAATTAGTCATACCACGTACAAATATATTGAAGATTTTTTTTTTATCATTACCCAACATCAACGCTACAGTAAATAATCGATATTCAGATCCATCTGCGCCTTGTATACTAGGATTATTTTGTAAAAGCATGGCAATGTATTTTAGTGATAATAATATGACTGATTCAGAAAGTTGAGTTGCAGATAAAATCTATATTTATCAATTTTTTAATACGTGTTACAAAACTCAGCTTTTTTTTTTTTATAAACTTACTTGTTTACAAAACTTTTTAAAGGCAGAACTAGTACGGTTAGCGATGTTTGCTGTCTCTCTCGAATGTCCCAGGTTGCGATCCTCCGTATGACTGGGCTGTACGAATTTCGAATGATCATGTAAAGCCATGACAGAGGGTCTTCTTGCATGCCACATTAGATAGACCATGGTAGAAGCAAAATCAGCCAGCTGAGTAATCGATAATAGAGGTGTTGGTGGTGCATCTGTGGCGCTTGGTACGGCTTCAGGTGGTACAACATACTGTTGATGCTGATGCTGATGCTGCTGTTGTTGATGTTGTTGTTGTTGGTGATGATGAGGATGATGATGTGGTGGTGGCAGTGGTGGTGGTGGAAGCTGTTGGTTTTGTCGAAAGTTGACGGACGCAGGTGGTGGGAGATATGGAATATTGTTATATCCATTTTCCATCACTTGGTATTGACCTTGTTGCCCTTGTCCTTGTTGTTGTCCTTGTTGCTGCGAGTACATTTTATTACTTATTTTACATGTACCCTCGTATATCAAACAAACACTCTTAATAAAAAAAAAAAAAAAAAGGAGAAAAAAAAAAAGAAAAAATGAGGGAGAAAAGGGAAAAAAAGAGAAAAAAATGTTTACAAACAAAGCAATATGAATCGGTACTCCAAAATAATACCAAAACCCGGTTTCTCCTCGGATTAAAAAAATAAATCGTAGAGACGCGCGCCCGCCTAGACAAAAGAGAGAGAGAGAGCGCGTAAATGTCACGTGAATCATGTGAAAAGGGTTTTGTTGGGTGTGTAACTATGGTTACCTTTTGATGCCTCCCCCAATTTTTTTTTAGGCCTATATATTTCATTTTAGTCTCCCAACTTTCTTTTTTTTTTTACTTTCTCTTCTCTTTCCTCTATATGTTTGACTCCATATTCAGATCAGAGTTCCTGACTCAAGAACAATTGAACGCACTTCACTTATACAAGTATGGAGCCATCGATCGTTCTTTCGTTACAAAATATATCCTCAGCCATTATTGGAATTGGTGTGTTCAGTTCTTTCCGATCAATATGGCGTAAGTCATCTCTATTTTCATCATTATACATAATTAATCATTCTTTGTTCTATAAGACCCAATTTAATCACTTTGACCGGTCTCTTCTTTATGATCATCAATGTCGCCTTTGCTATCTTTTTGGCGCCAGATATGGGTGTTGGCGAAGAATCAGGTCCCCATTGGATCTACATTAGTTTTGCTATCGGATTATGGCTCTACTCCACATTTGACAATGTAGATGGTAAGCAAGCAAGACGTACCAATTCATCCAGTCCCCTGGGCGAATTATTTGATCATGGTTGTGATGCTATTAATTGTTCATTTGCTGCTATCTTGCAATCCACCGCCCTTGGTTTAGGCCATTCTAAGGCAAGTGTATTATTATACGGAATCGCTATGATGGGATTCTATCTCTCCACAGTAGAAGAGTATCATACAGGTGTTCTCTATTTGGGTTATGTCAATGCCCCTACCGAAGGTGTCATTCTCTCTTGTATTGTATTCGTTCTTTCCGGTATTTATGGTAAAGTATAGATATTGTTAATAGATGGATGGGGGATCTGACTGATGAGTAAATTATTTCAGGCCCTGGCGTTTGGAGATTACCATTGAAGGAGGTTGTGCAAGTCTCATGGCTTCCTTCGGCTGTAACGGACATGTATCTTTCACATGTTGTCATTTGGTGGATTGGACTCTTATTTTTGTTTACGCATGTCCCACTCTGGTAAGTTAATATATGGATTTTAGTATCAGACTCGGGACGCTCACGATAAGATCTCTAGTTTCTATGCCATGTACAAGGCTTGTGAAGAGAAGAAGAAGCCTTTTGTGAGAACGATGCTTGCACAAAATACACCCATCGCTACTTATATCATTAGTTTGTACTTGTGGGTCATGTCTCCTTATTCGACCATCTTGACACACCGTCATTTCATCTTGTTTTCGATCACGACAGGTATTGTTTTTGGAAGAATGGCTACCAAGGTAATTTTGGCTCACTTGACCAAATCGAAATTTCCTAAATTCACGGTGCTGTTGATCCCATTAATTGTGGGAGCGGTTGTGACCAATGTACCCCGCCTTTTCCCTTCAGTGTAAGCATTTTTTGTTTATGTGTTAAATTCATATTGGGTGGTGACTGAATTTGTTTTTTTTTTAGTGGACCTATTTTTACGGCGGAGTCAGAGTACATGTTTTTACTTGCATATTTTGTATTTGCTGTCATTGCCTATATGCGTTGGGCCATTGTCGTTATCAATAGTTTCTGTGATTTCTTGGGTATTCATTGTTTAACTATTCCCAACCAAAAGAAAGTAGCCTAGATTATAGACTTTTTTTCTTTTTACACACACCTAATTATTGTTTGTTTGTAATATACCCTTATTTTTTTTTTTAAAAAAATCAATTTTTTTTTTTCGTGTCATACATGGCCAGACAAATTTTTTTTTGTGTGTCGTGGAAGCATCACATTCGTCGAAAACACCGAAAAGATGATCTTTTTTTTTTTAAGTTTATTATGTCCAGTGGGCATCATCTAACTCTAGTTGAATTTCACTTGAAAGTTCGGGTAAATTTGCAAAATCCATTCCTTCATCCGAAAATGGGTCACAAACGCCTTTTTCGCTTTGACTTTTTAAAGCTAATTGTAGTAACTCATTCACAGAAGCCGGATCTTTTGAATTTTCCAATGCAACGTAATATTCCGCAATAGCCGCCATCGTCTTGTTCTGGATATGGTAAATCATCCCGATAGTGGCTCGAACATCTGAATTGTTCGGGTTATGGTCTTTTGCATTCAATAGACACTTTAACGCGCGATCATAATTTAAAAGTCTTGCTTTTTGGTTTAGTCCCCCTTTTTGGTTATCAAATATACATTTATGACTTACGGCGGATGACGGTATACATGGCCCAAGTTACACCAGATTTTTTCCCAAATAGGACTACTGCCAGATTGATTTTCTTGAGCGTGTTGCAATGCCAAGTGTAAATGAGATCGAGCCCTCACATATCTGCACGAAAAATAAATAATAATAAAAAAAAAATGAGAATGTTTATCCTTACTACAAAAACAAATGTTATACTAACTGTTCCATCTTGTAAAAGCAAACGGCTGCTTCATTGTGTAAAACAGGGTCGTTTTGATTCTTATGAAGGCCCCTTGCAAAATAGTTGGAGGCTTCCTCCAATTGATTTTGTAGCATGTATTCCATACCGATATTTAATAAAGGTACATGGGATCTATTATAAAAGACATTAATTTTTTTTCCAGTGATCAATAATCAAGCTATAGTTGTACGATTCTTACTCGGGCGCTAAACGACTGGCAGACATATATGCTGTGATCGCTTGTTCATGCTCCTTTTCATATGCAAATGAATGTCCATAACCAATCCAAGCTTCTTGTAGTAAATTATCCAGGGTTAAGGATCGTTTAAAATATTCCCTTGCCTCTGTGTTTTTTTTGGCATTAAGATGAACTAATCCTACCGCATACCATGTTACGGATTCCATATTTTTTCGTTCTACCAGTTCTGTAGAGTACTTGTATAATTCAATCATCTTATTCAGCTCAAATAAGCATGTGATGTGAAGTACAATCGAGTCCATATAGAAAGAGTCCCTTTTCCTGATACTATCATGATAAAGGAAGCATTTCAGTACAGACCTGGGTGTATGTATCTGGCATGGATGCTTACGTTTCACAGATCTTTAGACAATTCTCAAAATCTCCAGTTTCCATATATCGCTTTGCCTTGAATAAATGAACTTCCAACAGGTCATCTAATTCTGGCATGGCAACCATCTTTTCAGAGTTCCGAATATTTCTTTTCAGCTTGAGCCCATAAAGATATCTAAAATAACCCGCTTCCTCACCACAATGCTCTTCATACGGCAATGTTGTCACAAATTCAAACTCTACAATTTCATATTTTCTTCTGTTCGTTAAATTTGTCAGAAAAGATAAAGTATTCAAAGTGTGTACCTTCTTTTTCGGTCATCGAGTTTAGTTTTACAAGCGAATCAAGAGCCCCTGAACATCTGGTATCCACTTTCAATGCCTCCTTAAAACTATCACTGGCTCGTCGGTAATTGCCCAATAGGAGATAGGATTTTGCCCGTGTAAAACACATGAGTGATTCTACCTTGATGCCTGTGTCTTCATTGTCTAACAGCTTTGCATCTGTGTCGCTGTGGGTGTCAGCGCAAAGACAAGATATATGCATAGTGATTTGTTTATTGGTTTTCACTTACTCTTTTGGGTAAAGGGGTTGGAGTGACCTAAATAATCCAGGGCATCCGCACCTTCGGATAGTGCAAGCTATGATGATATATTAATATCGCTGTAACAAAGAAAAGAACACGTCATGGGACTTTTAATGATAAACTTACAGAACATCGTGCAGCTAACAGTCGACAATACAGATTTTTATTGATAGCGTCGTATTGATTCAATAGTTCCAGTGCTCGTTCGTATTGTTGTTGTCCATGGTAGGATAGAGCAAGACTGTATACGTCGTCAACCGAATCTAGTAAAGTAAATAAAAAACCATGTATAAGAGTAGATCTTTATAAGGGGTCTTACATTTTTTGTCTTGTTTACGGCTACTGACAACCAGTTGTTCGTCCAAAAAACTTGCCATGCCAAGTTCATGACACTCTAAAAGGCTATCTCTTAATAAGCGTAAACGGTCTATTCTTGTCTTTCCTCCTTCATTGGGCATGGCTGCATTAGATCGTGTTGGGTAAAATGATGATCGCTCGCCCATTTTTATTTTTATTTTTTGTTTGATAAAGTAAAAAAAAGGACGATATTTTTTAAGTCACGGTCGGGAATTCATATATCAGTGTGTGTGCATCCCAAAATATTATGCATTTTGTTTTCTATTTTATTTATAATTTACAATTTGGCTTGAGCAGGAACTTCGGTCATCAATAAATCACGTAATTCGTTACAAGCGTCTTCAAGACATTGCTTGAATTGATAAGTACCATCGATATATTGTTTACCGTGAACAGTAAGATCCTTTACACTAGCAACGTTGAATTGAAGTGCGTTACCCTTAATCATGTAAGCACAACCAAAACCGTCATTCACAACTTGACCCCAACCATAACCATCAAAGTGCTCAGATGATAATTGAGAAGTAGAGAGATACCAATGAGAGGAATAAGCAAAAGCAGGATCCGTGAATAATTCAGGCTTCTTTTCGTTGGCTTTCAAACTGTTCTTTAAACCAAACAAGTGACGATCCACACCATGACCGTTAACGGCGGCAGCCATATATTGTCCTTGAGCTTTGAGAGCGGTACGGAAAGCAGCAATCTTTTCATTATCAGGAAGATAAGGGTTTTCCATAGCCTTGACAAAGGCGACAGATTCATCCGAGACAGTACGAGATGTCTCGGTACGTCCACGTTGGAACTTACGGGTTTGTCCAGATTCATAGGTAGGTCTGCTAGTACCAAACATCTTGTTGTAGGCAAGTTGAATAGCCATTTGAACAAAACCGTCAGGAGAACACTTGAACTTCTTGATCAAGTTCTTACCAAAGGCTTGATAGGCAAGTACGGTCATCTCATGTTGTCCAATCAATTGTTCAAAGTCCTTTTCAGCAACTTCAATAGCCGTTTCAATCTCCTTGTTGGTGACAAATGTGAGGATTTGGGGTTGAGGAATGTCCTTACGAATACTGTTATGACCATGTTTGATAAGGTTTCTAGCAAGACTGAAAAAAAAAAAAAAAAAAAAATAGTGTGTCAACTTTTTTTTTGTTATTTTTCCCACGCATTGATATATATTTTACCCGTCACAGACGTATTCATTTAAGCGGCAAGTGGTTGTGCCATCCATGCAAGAATGCTAATATATAAAATTTGTCAGCCAAAATATAATTTTTCAGAAAGAGACTGTATCACATTACCTCTCCCATGAAACCGGCTCTACCATTCTCATAAACAATGAATTGAAGGGGTTTATCAAAGAAACGGTTACGACCGTCACCATGCCAACTAGCACGGCATAATTCATCGCGGGTCTTGGGTTCTAAATCATCAAGACAGACAACAAATGAAGATGTTTCAATTTTATCCATAATTTCCTTGTTGATGGGGTTAGCTGCCAATAACAAGTTGCGGTTCTATGCATTAAAACAAAAAAGATGAGTACACTCACAATGAAAAAATAAATAAATAAAAATCCTTTACATCAAACCATTTGTCACGGTTATCAGAGGTCAAGACACCAATAGGGAGACCCTTGACATCTCCAGCTTGATCAATGACTCTCTCGAATTGTTGTTGAAGTTCCTTTGTATTGAGTTGAACACCATGATGAACAGTATCGACAAAATAAAATTTGTTCTTACGAATAGCAATGATGTGGGTGTTCTTGAAAGGATCAAAAGAAGCAGCCAAATCGCTGGGCTTATGGGCAATACGACAGTTATTAAACATATACTTGTAGGAATCCATACACATGGGCTCTCCCTTGGCATACTCAGGTTCTAAAGTCTTTTCGGTAACAAGCTTCTTGAATTCTAAAGCAGCTGTTGTGATAGCAGCTGCACGTTCAGCAGGGTTCTTTCTGAACTTGTCGTCCTTATAAGCAAAAAAGTATGAGACATAGACAACAACAGGATCACGGTATCCCATATAAGCTTGGTCATTCCACCATTCTTCCATCCAATTAACCATCTCGGGATTTTGAGCACGGGCAACTAAACGCTGTTGCAATTGTTGTCCTAAACCACCAGGTGCTTCGAAATCCTTGACAGCTTGTTCTGTGCGCTTGTACTCTTCTTCGCTTAAAAGAGGGTGGACGGTCTTGAGATACTTTTGAAGTGTCTCGGAAAGAGCAGGTACGGGTAATTTGGGGAGGTTGGCTTGGTAACGAAGCATAGGGCCTGCAGCATTAGCGTCAACAGGTGTCTTGGGAGTCTACACAAATGCTGGTTAATGCTTCAGGTCTCTCTATTCAATCAAGTTTTTCACTTACAGGTGCCATTTGTTATAAAGGTAAATGTATAAAAGAAAAAAGAAAAAAAGAAAAAAAAAAACTGGGGGATTTAAAAATGTTATTTTAGATTTGCGGGGTATTTGTTCCTGTCAGCATAAATTGGTTCTTGGCCAGGGCATCCTTTTTTTTTTTTTTTTTTTTTTTTTAGATTAGGCTGATTTGTATTCTACTTTAGTCATTATTTAATACTTGCCCGTGCATCGTGTGTATCTTGTTCTCTGGTAAATGTAAGCCATCTACTGAAAGCTCTTTTTTTTTTAATTATTCGTTGTTTTAACATCTGCATGATCATAAGCAGTAACTATTGTTGGAAAGCACAGGTGCTAAATTAATTAGCCATTTCGGATATTTATAAGAATCTGGAGAAACAAGATTTTTAAAAAAAGTTGGCCCTTATATTGAATACGGGATGTGAACCTGTATAGTTTATAAAACGATGCTTTACCCCCTTTCAGCAACTGTTGTATAAAATATGTAAATAAAAATATCTATTGTTGTATGGTAATATAGCTCAAAGCCTGTAAAACACACCATTCTCTCTAATGAATAAGCTGGGCTTCGATTTCACCTGACATCCCTTCTTATCGGTCTTTAAATTTTCTTGCCCTTTCTGGATCATGTCTATCACATTTAAAGGTAATCTTACCATTCACCATCTATAATATGCTTTCCAAGGTTACAGATATCCCCATTCCATTGATATTGTGTGATAAAGACACCATGTCTCCTACGAATAAGACTGCGTGTCTCAACAGCTTTTGGCCATTAATAGAAAATGATCAATGATGTTCAATTATGGCAATTATCGACATTTTTTTTTTCTCGATCAGTGTCAACTAATTAATCACATGCATAATTTTTATGATTGCTTTAAAGTCTTGTTTCATCATTTTTACTACATCATTCTATCCTATTTTATCTCAGGCAAATTTTCTAATCCTGAATATCTGTTGTCGATCCTGCAAAAGTCAATGCCACCAGGCTTGGTTTCTTCCGTGATATAGGCTTTGGTCTTAGCTAAAAACTCTAATTGTTAACAGTGTAAATTTAAGAAAGGGATCAATATTTTTATCTTGCATAATTACATGTGTGGCTTTAAATCACCGCCTATATCCTCTTTCAAATTTAAGATCAATAGCGTTACTTTTGCAAGACACAAAAAGTGTGTCTATTTCCGAGAGAGAATGCAAATTTTTATGATAAATTAAGGCAAACATTGATCATCTTCTGCTGTCTTTGGTTTTTTAAGGTAATTTAATGACGATACGAGTCTACTTTTTCATTGACGTACCCGATTACAAAGACAAGCTGATGCTGAAATATTGACATGTATATGTCTAACTCTGATAAACACACCCATTCAATTTTCTTTTCCAATAATAACAAAAACAAAATAGCGTCCTTTTGTTAATTGATTAAATACAAAAGTAGATTGCGTGATTGTGTGGCTTGTAAAAACCCATGTAAAAAAAGAAAAAAAGAAAAAAAAAACTCCCACACCTTCTTCTTCTTTTTATTTTTTTTTATTGTTGAAAGGCACATTACTATATTGTCTGTCAAGAATTTACTGGCACCAAAGTTCCCACTTATGTTACACCCTTCTTGTCTTTTCACATTGACAATTAGAGAAGATTTAACACGGTACCCAATTGAGTCCAAGGTTTTAGCGATCATTGACGCTTGGCCCAGCTTGCCTTTGTTTGGAGGTAAAAGCGCGACAAGATAAAATAGCGTGATATATTATATGTGCCAAACAAGGTAACCAATAATATATAATGCTATTGTTGAAACAGAAGCCAGTGAGTATCCAATTTATTTTATTTTAACAAGTTAATAACCCAAGTTTTCTTTAGACGATTATGCGCGTCTTGCACAATCTGGAGGAGTTATTCTTTCCTATCACTGTTAGGGGATAATAACAGTTGTATAGTGAAGCTTATCTGCTTTACGGGTGCCTAACTTCAGTCTACGGGGGGTTTCGGAGTTAAATACACCTTGTTGACAGAAGCCTGCTTCTGTTTTTTTTTGGGAGCGGGCATAACATTGAAATCACGTTGTTTTAAAATCCTGGCTGCTTTGCTCGCAAAGTCAGTTCAGGTTTTTTAAACACGTGTCTTCAGTGACTTGTCCTTTCTGTCTGTGGGGTTTTCATACTCGGTGTGCGCCAACAAAGGTCATTCTCTCATTTGTTTGGAGATACTCGTTTCTCTTACAAGATAGTAACTCCATTGGCTTTGGGAAGTGGTGTGGAGCCAGGGACTTAGATTTTATCAAAGTCAGAACCAGACGAACAAAGGATGGCGAAGGTGCCAATGTCTCTGTGAAACAATTTTTTGTACTTAAGGATGTCTACGTCGGTAAGATATGCAAGTTGCATATTTTTTACATCTATCTAATCATGAAATATAGATAATGTTGTGTCTTTTATCATTAACCAGCTAGACCTGTGGTATTTGACAAAATATTACATAGAAAAGTAATGAGATAAAAGTATATTTTTATTAGGGGTAAAAATAGACTAAAAGAACTCTGCTGCTATGAAATAATTGATCCTTTTTATATTGCACAACTCTCCTGAGTTTTAATGATGAGTCAACCTTTCTGGTTTTGGAATAGATCTATACTTTGTTTCCCGCCTTGGGTTAAATGGATACTACTCGTTAGAATTGTTTCTGTACTAAAATCGCACTATTTAACATATAAAATCGCATATAAAATCATTCCATCGATCCTTGATCGACAGGTACATAATATCATAACACTCATAAAAAAATAATAGCATAAAAAATATCCTGAGTTATACATTTACAACTCAGGGTTACTAGATATTCCAATAGAAGATCCCATTTCGAATAATAGATTGGCTACACTGATAAGGCTCATCAGTCATTAGTAAATACAGCCAATAATACCAAGTGAACACAAACGAGCCATAATTTTACCCACGCTTTAAATAACTATAAATACCCCCCTTTCTTTCAGAGATGAAAGAGGGATTCACTTTTAATAAGAATAAAAAAGCCTACAAGCAATATTAATCTTATTCTTCCTGTTTTTTTATCTTTTATTTTTCCGTGTCAAACAAACCGTTTTTCCACAGTTTCCAGATAACGTTGTCCCATATCAGTGGATCGGGAGCATGAGTATGCTAATAAATCTTTAGTATTACGAGACACTTATTTATCAGATCATGCAACGGTTACTGTAAAAGATGCATACTTGTTTGTCAAGTGTAATTGGCAATAGAACATAATAGTTGATCATTTATTCATTATCTTTGTAATGAATAAATTACGATCCCAAATATAAAATGTCTTATCGATATTTGTATATTTGGTTGTAGAAGCTAGGTATCCATTAATTCATACACTATTTCTTTATACTCTTTATCAGCAGTATAATTATATCAATATATAAGTAAATGAACCATTTATATTAATAGCTGTTCTATTCTCTCTCTGGGAAGCTAATCCATTGAGAGAACTATTAATATTAAGTTTCTCTTTCTTATAATTCTTGATTGATCTGAGAAGTTTCTCTTCTCGATCGGTGATATCGTAACTCAGTGGTATAGCATTCTGTATCCAACTGTCATTCGTATATCGTATTTAGGCCAATCATGTAATCTTTAATATAGAAATATGTACTCGAAGTAGGAGAAGTTGTGTAGCAGTATACATGTGTATGCTGGTATGCAACATTGAAGGTTCTTTTTTATTTCATAATTTAATTATTTGAACGATTTGCTTATTTATTCTTAAGTGAATCGTACCCAAATACGACAGACTCCACGATCGAAATCTGAAAGTTCCTTGCTTTTTCTAGAGACTTTGTTAGTCATGTCAGTAAGTGGCATGGTAAATGCGTAATAAAATATGAAAGAATCGTTGAACGAAGAAAGAGTAGATTTATTTATTTTTTTGGCTCAAAACGGAAGTGTCGAATATTTTCTGTGCGGAGTTGTATATACGATAATAAAATTTGTTTAATAATTTATCTTGTGTTTTATATAAAATGATGACTGAATGATAATGAAATCAAAAACCATTGGTTGTTTTATACCGTTTTACGAATGAAAATATGAAAAAGCGAAACAACATTGGTTTGAAACACCAACAAAGTTGTTGAAAGGTTCAACAATAATTGTTTGTAAGATCAATAAAGTTGTTGAAAGGTTCAACAAGACTTGTATGTAAAATCAACAAAGTTGTTAAATAGTTCAACAAGACGTGTTTGTAAAATCAACAAATTTGTTTGCAAAAGCAACAAAGTTACATCCAACAAGTTTGTTGATTTTGTCAACAAAGTTGTTGGTAAACAAATCGATGCCAGCTATTTCTCAGACAACTATTTGGGAGTAGCACTTGTTGATTTTGTCAAAAAATTTGTTGGAATCGTCAACAAATTTTCCGCCATAGTGACTCTTGTCATTTGATGTTATAATTGTTGATCCCTCTGACTTATATTTATATACTCAGTATGAAAGGGCTAAATTTAGAGACATGTTGATTATTTACTATCACCAGATTATTACATCATGATCCAATAAGGCGCTTAAAATTCTCCCAGTTCTTTATATAAATATCCATAGTTTTTCTCATAGACCATCAATACGTTTTTGATTACATTTTTTAACACGTTTTTTAATTATATTTTTTTCGTCCATAATAAAGTGGTATTCAAGTTCTAATAGTATCACTTTTGGTTTATTTTTTATTTTGTTCTCCATGCAAAACAATATTCGATAATCTGACAAGAATAGCGTGAGTTAATTTGATCTGCCAGAATTACAAAATCAAAATATGAGTAGAAAAAAATTTGTTTTGTTTGTAAAATGGCGTGACCCAATCTCGTAATAATTTAAAAATTTTACAAGTTTATTTAAGCGAATCGTTCCCGGAGGAACAAATTCAATGACAAAGGCTTAATCTCAGTACATCGTAGCAACAAAGACTACTCTAGTACTTACAATACCCCGTCCATTTCGTGTCGTCTGCACGCGATTTAACGTCATGAAGTATTAGCATTATCATTTGCAAGTCCAACCAAGCAGCCTTTCCGCTGCAAGGCGTATCTCACAATTAAAGGTTTTCATGCAACAGGCCTTATGTGTACACTTCTGTTACAATTCAAAACACATAATAGCATTGTTTCCAGTATGGATTCTGGCTTAGAGGCGTTCAGCTATTATCCAGCAGATGTAGCTTCGCGGCGAAGGCCGTTCGACCAGACGCAAATACCAATTATCTGAATGAAGGGTTCCTCTCGTACTAGCTTCAATTACTGTTACAATACCCATACCATCAGTAGGATAAATATAACCTGTCTCGCGACGGTCTAAACCCAGCTCACGTTCCCTGTTAGTAGGTGAACAATCCAACGCTTACAGATTCCTGCTTCTGTATGATAGGATAAGCCGACATCAAAAATCAAAAAGCAACGTCTCTAAAAACGTTTCGTTGCCACAAGCCAAATACCCTGTCGTAACCTTTTTTGGATTCTTTACCCTCAAATGTATGAGACTCCAAAGGATCCAAGGCCCTACTTTCATAGATAATAGGGGGACTTTTACCCAATGATTCTACACGAGATTTATGTTCTCGTTGAGTCCCCCGTAGCATACCTGCGTTAACAGATGCACTACCCAGTTAACTCCCCACTTGACTACTCAAGTGAAATTGGTATGGGTAGTGGTTTTTCATTGGCGCCAAAGCTCCCACTTATGCTACACCCCATACTTCCTTCCACACTGTCAAACTAGAGTCAGGCTCAACAGGGTTTTCTTTCCACACTGATTCTGCCAAGCCCGTTCCTTGGCTGTGGTTTCGCTAGATAGTAGATAGGGACAGTGGGAATCTCGTTTAATCTAGAGCATTACATACTCCCGCCATTGACCCGCACGCGTTAAACCTCTTCACTTTGAAGTTAAGAGCACTGGGCAGAAATCACATTGCGTCAACACCACTAACTGGCCATCGCAATGCTGTGCCTTTATTAGACAGTTGGATTCCCTTTGTCCGTAACAGTTCTAATGTGGTTGTTAGTGATAGACTGTGTTCGCTTGGTTGCCCGAAAGAAGCCAAGGTCCATATCTACCCAACCATTAGAGCCAATCCTAATCCCGAATTATGGATAATTTGCCAACTTCCCTTATCTACATTGTTCTATCAACTAGAGGCTTTTCGCCTTGGAGACCTGCTGCGGTTATGAGTACGACTAGTCGAGAAAATTATTTTTTCCCTTGGATTTTCAAGGATCATCGTGAATGCACCGGACACAGCAAACGCACTGTGCTTTACCAACCGATAAACCTTTTCTCTTGCTAAACAAATTCCAAGGTCTATCTTAGTTGTTAAAAGAAAAGATAACTCTTCCCGGAACCCACGCTGATGTCTCCAAGGTCATTTGCGTTACCGCAGAAAATCCTCGTCCTAGTACCGGAATTTTAACCGGTTTCCCTTTCGATAGGCGGGCCCAATAATTGAACACGTATCTATCTCTTAGGATCGACTAACCCTGGACCAAACGATGTTGTCCAGGAACCTTTCCCCTCTTCAGTCTTCAAAGTTCTCATTTGAATATTTGCTACTACCACCAAGATCTGCACTAGAGGCTGTTTCACTCCCGTTTACACCAAGAGCTTCGTAACAGTTTAAATAAACCTCCACGCCTGCCTACTCGTTATTGCTTCCCTTTTACAATAACGGGAAAGTCTCGGTAACACGCTTAAGCGCCATCCATTTTCAGGGCTACTTCACTCGGCAGGTGAGTTTTTACACACTCCTTAGCGGATTCCAACTTCAATGGCTACCGTCCTACTGTCTGCATAAAATAACACCTTTATGATATCTGATAAGCGTGTATTTAGGCACCTTAACTTTCCGATCGGTTCATCCCGCATCGCCAGTTCTGTTTACCAAAAATGGCCCACTAGAAACTTTGCATTCAAGATCAATGATTCATTTAAGAAAACATGTCATCTTACAAATATAACTTCATAAAAATGCCTATAAGCTTCTGCTATCCTGAGGGAAACTTCGGCAGGAACCAGCTTTAAGATGGTTCGATTAGCCTTTCGCCCCTATACCCAAATTTGACGATTGATTTTCACGTCAGAATCGCTGCGAGCCTCCACCGGAGTGTCCCCCGGCTTCACTCTATTCAGGCATAGTTCACCATCTTTCGGGTCTCATCATTAATGCTTTTGCACCGTATGCTTTGATACAAAAATTGTACGAGCTCGGGAGATGACCTACACATCTAAAAGATCTCGTGTCAATCTTGTTAACATCGCATATGAGTTTGTCACCCAAATACTTGCATTAATGCTGAACTCCTTGGTCCGTGTTTCTAGACGGTACGTTTAGAGCCATTAAGCCAACAACCTAAGCGAATAAAAAATATACTAGGCGA